TGAGAGTACAAAATCTGATCAGCCTATTGGTAATCGAGACATGATGGGATTAGCAAACTGCTTGAAGCGATATAACAAAGGTGTAAAACAGTTGTGAAGAGTGAATAAATATAAAATCGGTGTGGTATTTGAACGTCCTGGTCTGGCTAACGCGGCATTACAGAATAGAAAATTCTTGGAAGCATACAACCTGTCGGCATCTATTCCGGCAGCAGCTAGCGAAGTCACAGGTGTCATCACTCATGTGCCCACAGAATTATCGAATGAACAAATATACTCTGCATTGACTTCTACAAAAAATATCGTAAGCATTCGACGTTTTATGAGAAGAATAAGGACTGATAATGGTGAAAATAAATTGGAGCCGACAAAGACAGTTTCTATCACATTTTCATGCCTAGTATTACCTGAGAGTGTCGACCTCAACAGCTGGCGTTTCGAATTACGACCCTACATACCCCCAGTCAAGCAGTGTCTTAAGTGCCTGAGGTATGGACATATTGCCAAATTTTGTAAGAATGCAGAACGATGCTCCATATGTGGTGAGTCACATAACTTTAAACTCTGTACAAAATCAAGTCAGGATGCTGTATGTTGTCATTGCAAGGGGAACCATGTGGCTATTTCGTCACAGTGCCCTGTAAAAAAAGAAAAAATATTATTAAATAGAGAAAAGGCTCAGAATAAAACATACTCTGCTGTAATTAATGAGAAATCATTCCCTCCCTTGAAACAAAGCCCCACTGATATGCTAGCATTGCTATTAAACTCTGATTTTATTTTGAATATGGTTGTAGAGTCAATTGTCAAATTAATAACAATGAACAAAAACAATGAAACAGCTATTTCCACACAGAGTATAAAAGATACTCTCTTGGAAACAATAAATAAAAATAAGAAACAAATACTTAATCTTTTTTTTTTTTATGGATTTTTTAAATATAATGCAATGGAATGCTCAGAGTTTACCTGCACACAGATACTTATTAACAAATTTTCTACAAGAGAATCAGATTCATGTAGCTTTGATTTCTGAGACATGGTTAAAACCACACATTCAGTTTACTCTCAAAAGTTATGATATAATTAGACTAGATTCAGGTAACCGCCATAATGGCGTTGCCATTTTTATTCATAATAGTTTGCAATTCCATAAGATAGATACATCATTTGATGATTCAATTCAAAATATAGCTGTAAGATTGTATTATGGAAATCAAGAAATTTCTCTTGTGTCTTTATATAGTCCAGGTAACTGTAACCCTTCATTTTCTAAATCAAAACTTGATTATTTAATCAGCAGTATCCCTGGGCCTTTGCTGATTGCTGGCGATTTTAACGCCCGGCATACAGCATGGGGCTGTAGCTCTATTGATTCACGTGGGCGCGATATTATTGAAAGCATCAATGACAACAACTTAGTACTCCTAAATGATGGTCAGCTGACAACTGTTGGCTCTAGTGTATGGCAAAGGAATGCTTTGGATTTAACACTAGTATCACCCACCCTCTTTGGCTTTGAGATGTGAATGGTCTGTTTCTGATGACCCTTTAGGCAGCTACCATTTACCTGTAATTACAAAATTAGAAATTAGTAATAATAAAGACTCATTTGAAAATTTACTTGCACTCCCTACATATTTTAATTTCCGTCTAGTAGACTGGCAAAAATATAGTGAAAATGTAGATTTCTTATTAAATAACAATTTACAATTTGACCAGTCTAATCCATTAAAATGTTATTCAGATATGGTAATATTATTAAATCTAGCGCTGCAGCAGTCTGTTACTCACACTAGTAGACAGTTTGTTCAACCACAAATATCAACTCTAAAAGCTTTTAAGAAACGTGTTTCATTGCCTTGGTGGAATAACAACTGCAAAACAGCTGTAGATAATTGTAGGAAAGCTTATACCGAATTTAAGCATAACCTCTCAGAGGAAAGTTACCTTAAGTTTAAAAAGTTACAAGCTTTGAAAAAGCTCATTTTAAAAAAGGAAAGGAACTTAAGTTGGATGTCATTGTGTGAATCACTTAATCGATGTACTCCTATTTCAAAGCTCTGGAGGATTGTCAGGAGGTTTAATGGTATTTTTGTTCCATCTAAAAATGTATATAGTGAATGGGTACCAGAATTTCTCAAAAAATATACACCAGATACCGTAGAGGTCCCTTTGACATTTGTAAATAGGAATCCTGTACATAATTGTAAATACTTAGAAATGCCATTTAACATACAAGAATTTAAAACTGCAGTTTCTACTCGTAGGGATACAGCTCATGGCCTCGATGGTATTCCTTATAAAATGCTAAAATATACTACAGATAAAACAAAGAATATCATCTTAAAAGTTTATAATTTGTTATGGTCTTGCTGTGTTATACCTATTGACTGGAAAAAAGATTGTTTGGTCCCCATTTTGAAACCAAATAAAGATAAGACTAAAGCAAATTCATACCGGCCAATAGCATTGACATCATGTATGGGAAAAGTATTTGAACAGCTACTCAAACAAAGAGTTGAATTTTTCATTGAAAGCAATAATCTATTACCTTCCAATCAATTTGGTTTTCGCAGGGGCCGATCCTCTAGAGAGAGTATAGCACATCTTCAACTAGACATTTTTGATGCACTTAAACAAGATGAAGTCCTTATTGGTGTGTTCTTTGATGTTGTTGGTGCTTTCAATAATGTAAATCCTCATATTTTAGCACGTGAACTTTTTTCTCTTGGTTTTCCTGAAAAAGTAGTTATGTGGATTTTTAATTTTTTGCATGGTCGTGAGGTTTATGTCAAGTCTAATAATCAATTAATAGGACCACGCTATTCATATAAAGGTGTCTGTCAAGGAGGAATTCTATCTCCATTGTTTTACATTCTTTATGTACACAAACTAAACATCATTTTAGGATCACAAGTAAAAAACTTGCAATTTGCTGATGACTTGGTCATTTACCATTCAGGTTCTGATATTCAACAGGTAACCTCTACTATAAATAGAGCACTTTTAAAATTAAATGAATATTTCAGTTATTTAAATTTAGATATTAGCCCTGACAAATCTAAAACAGTTGTATTTGGTGATTGTGATACAAATGTTGATATTGTATATAATAATGTCATTGTCCCTGTAGAGAGTGAAGTAAAATTTTTGGGTGTTATTTTCACCAATAATCTTTCATGGAAAAAATATGTAGAATAAATTTTGGGGAAAGCTTACAAAGCCTACAATGTCATAAAATGTTTATCAAAAATTGACCCTAAAATATTATTGATGTTATACAAGTCAATTGTTAGAAGTCACTTTGAATATGGATTTTTATGTTTTGGATCTGATTCTCAATTAGTAAGAAAATTAGAAGTCTTGCAGAATCATAATCTTAGATGCATAACGGGTGCTATGAAAACCTCTCCTATCAACTCTCTGGAAGTAGAATGCAATACACCTCCACTTCAATTAAGATTTAAATTTTTAAAATCAAAGTTTTTGATTAAATTACTGTCATTTCATTCCCATCCATTAATTAAAAAAATTAACTTTCTATATGGAATATACTCTCCAACTAATATGTCTAGGATCCCTTATTTGCTTCATGACTTCTCAGAATATATTAATTACAACCAGCAGTACAACATTAATAAAACTGAGCATAATTGGATATGTTACAAAGAAACTTATGATATGCATTTCTGTGACATAAGCATCCATATATCGCCCGACTTGAAATTTAAAGAAGAAGTTTACAAAAAGATTGATAAGTTTTCCAATCATAAACATATATATACAGACGGTTCCAAGAATGATGATAATGTTTCAATGGCGATTTACATACATCATTTGAAAACGGGTCTAGGGTACAAACTTCCAAGCCAGATGAGCATATTTTCTGCGGAGTGTCTTGCAATTCTTTCTGCATTGGAGTTTATAGAGGAAAATATTCAGGAGTGCACTCAATGGTTGGTGTTAACAGACAGCATGAGTTGTTTACAAGCTTTGCGAAACAATAGATTTGACTCTGGAAGTAATTTTATTTTACATGATATTAAAAAAATGTACCACAAACTTAAAGTCCTCAATGTACAAATAGTTTTAATGTGGGTTCCATCGCACATAGGAGTCATCGGAAATGAGAAAGCTGATACGTTAGCCAGAACTTTGGTATACTTACTTTACTCTTTGGCCAGCCAGAACCATTTTAAATCGAAGCAATGATGACGTTGACTTTAAAAATGTTGCCATACCTTTTTCAGATTTATTACCCAAACTAAAACTTTTGTTAAAACAAGATTGGTTGATTAATTGGCATCAAACGCTAGTAATAAAAGGAAAATGGTATCATAAAATTAATAATGTAATTGGTCAACATCCATGGTTTACAAAATCTAAAGAATACCATAGTCGGAAATTTTATACGACCATCACACGCTTGAGAATTGGACATGGACGTTTTAATTCACATTTATATAGAATGAATATAATTACATCTCCGTTATGCACAAACTGTAATTTAAATAAAGATCAAACACTAAACCATATATTTTTTGAATGTACAGCATATAATATACAAAGACTTGTTTTAGCTGACAATTTAATTAAATTATATAAAACTAATAATGAAATCCGCGCGACATTCAAGACATTGTTATGAATCCAAAATCATACAAATATCTATATATTTTTTTAGTTTCCATAGATATGGAACTTTAAAAAATTTCATGACTTTAAACAAATAAGATTTAAAGAAAGAAGATTCAAATTGAAAGAAGATTCAAAATCGGATTTGAAAATTTGGGGGAAACAATAAGTACCTAAACTGAAAATGGATTAGAAAGACTATTTAGGACAAATATCTTATGATTAAAGAAGTGGCTTCGGCCTTATAGAAAAAAGAAACAATAAAAAATCTTTTAAATGAAGACTATGGCTGCATGGCTCTGCCTTTGCCTTTCCCAAGATGGGAAAAAAGATATAAAAAAAAAAATTTACATGTTGCGAGAGCGCGAGATTGATTGAGCTTTGCTTTTGTTTTGTTTGTTGTTCTTTCCACTGAGCGAGTAATCTATAGTTCTTTCCGTACCTTTCCTTAATCGTCTGATTTCATCGAGATTTCACCGGTGTTTGTTCTGTTCTATCATAACAACAACTCCTAAATTACCTTTTTAAACACATGATCTGATACCCGTGTCTGATACATTACTTGGTCAGTGATCTGATAAAGATAAAAGAATGTGACAAACCTCGATAGTGTGTTATCACCTTCACGAAAAAAGCGGAAAAGTTTTTGTAAAATATTTTAGGGTCTAAGTAAGTTTAGAGATAATTAAAACACTATTTTCCGACAACAAAATGACATCACGGGGAAGTCTAGGTAGCCACGACAGGAAACTACGCTACCGAGCTTTACTGGACAATTTGTCAACATTGGGTTAGTGAAATAATAATATACCTAGTAGGCTTGGCCATCACTTTTGGTATTGGCAGAATTGTCGACATTGGTATCGACAATTGCAATTAAAAAGAATAGAATAGAATAATGTACCTAATAATATAATCTAATAATATTACAAAAAAAAATTAAGTAGTGTACCACAGTCTACTTACATTAGGTCTGTCGCTTTCATATTCCAGAAGACGAAAATGACAATAATGTACAGCGAATGGACAAAACCGCCAACGCCGTGCGTGAAGCACAATCCCTGCTGGCCGAGGGCGGAGTGGAAGAGCGAGTGAAACATCCAGGTAAAGTCAATTCAATATGTAAAAATGTCAGCTAAATTGTACTTCCAGGGCCCAAGTGGTGATACTTCACACTAGGTTAGGTTAGTGTTGTGACCATAACACGCGAGCCGAGCGAGCGAAGCAAGCGTGCCGCGGCAGCGGCCGTCTAAGAGCCAGAAAAAAAAATTTTTTAAAAGACACCTTTTCTGCAAAATTGTTCTAGTATCACCACTTGGGCCTTGGAAGTACAAAATACCTATTGCTTGCCCGTTTAGGGTAACTGTCTATCTCAATTGTCTGCACTAACATCTAGCATTAAATAAAACTAGTTTTTATGGATTAATGCACAAACTTTATTTATTGATGTTTCACAGCCTTTTCAGGTCTGCATTGTAAAAATAATGATTTTATAGTTACTTTGTCGAGCTACCTTCGAAAGAAGTCTTAAAAACCAGTTTTATTTAATGAGTGATGTGCGTGAAAACCTAAGAAACAAATATATAGCATTATCACTAAATGTTACAGTTTTGTAATAAATAATTATTCAATTCTATTTCTTCTTTTATGGCTTCCCTGAGATAGATAAATAAAAAAATATTACTAACACTCACACCAATTAACCTAGTTCCAAAGTAACAGATAGAGTACATGTACTGATACATATATGAATAAGTATATTTATCTAGAAATATATATAAACAATCATGGGGTTGGTACAAATGCTTGCTTTCATTATACTAACATTTGCCTAACCGGGATTAGAACCTAGGACCACTGAGTAGGCCACACCTTGTCTCATCATAATAAGTACCTCATCTCTTGGGCCCTAGTTTCGATCACTAGTGAAGAACAATTAGCATAATTCTTTAATTTGAATATAAAATAAACAGTAAGTCTGCTGTTAATTCAGAAGAGAATTCAAAAACATGCATATATATTTTTTTATTTGTAAATGTCAATGACTACGTGATTATTCCTATTATAATTGATTATTATATTTACTTTTTGAATTTTAGATTTTGTTGCCTTCTCATTCGTATTTTGTCTCTATTACAGGGGAGGGTTACCTTGATTCTCGTGTGTTGAAAGCGACCAGCGACCTTGCTGTACGATGTTCCGAAGCGGTCAGTGGGAATGCTAACACATATGACAAACATGAGCTGGCTCAGCATATTGTGAGTACACATAATAAAATTTTTTTTTTTAACTATGTACTAAGCAATACTATCAAACCACTATTCAACACATGATTTTTACCTAAGCTTAGCAAGAACGACATCTTGGGCCTTCGCCCCTTTTACCAGGGAGAATAATTCATAAATGTACCTTTCCCCCAACAAACCTCCATGACTGAGTGGTTTGACGACCTCCGTGGCCGAGTGGTTTGTACTCCAGGTTTCATGGTGTCGCTGACTCGAGAGGTCCCGGGTTCGAATCCCGGTGGGGGCAGATGTTTGTGTGATGCATACGAGCATTTGTATTCCAGTCATGGATGTTTAATATGTATTTCTAAAAAAATATACTGATATATGTACAGTATATGTATTCTATACGTTACGCCAGTATCCCATAGCACAAGTTTTACAGTGCTTACTTTGGGGATAGACTTAATGGTGTGAGTGTAAAAAAAATAACCCTTATAGTAATTTATGTTATTTACGAGTTTGTTACCATGTACCTTGTTTTTAGCGAGTTTCCGATATTTCGGCACTATTGCAAGCACCATGATCACGGAGTAACTGAAGTAATTGCGGGTAGGCTGTTATTGGCAGACATGTCGGTCTACCCTCCGACGAAGTCTTTTATTGCGTTCGATACCCGTACCACTGTTCACATTCTCACTATTCACTCGAAACTGTTCTCGACACACAATACTCACAGTATCGGATCGCGACACGACACTTTTTTGATTATTCAAGTTTTTACAAACCACAGGATTTCAGACAATCGATAATTTAAATCCGTCCCCAAGATTGAAATTAGTGCCAATAACAGCCTACACGCAATTACTTCAGTTACTCCTTAATCATGGCGCTTGCAACAATGCCGAAATATTGGAAACTCGCTGAAAACAAGGTACATGGTAACAATCCAGTAAATTACATTAATTACTATAATGTTAGTGACCATGAAAGTTTAAAACAATAAAATATAATCTTCTCTTTTGGCACACATTCCCATCTTTCATGATCAGCATCAATCTAGCCTCATCCATCATCATATGTATGGGATAGGGAGATTATACTATGCACCCACAGGACCCACCACGTGGGTGCTAGCACCTGCAGATGCAGCCGGGACCAACGGCTTAACGGGCCTTCCTAGTAGATTTTGGTCACGCATCGAATGACTTGCTTTTGCCTCCACTGTCTGCCCCGCCATCTTGGTATATGTACGGCGCGTGCGCGAGAAGCAACACGCGGCCGCGCTCAAAGCACCAGACAACGTAACTCCTAATATAGCAAACATTGCCAATTTGCTTGTGGAGCAATGGAAAACGCAGTTTTTATACGCCATTGAGCACAGTTCTAAAAGAGCTATTGCGAGAGTTAGTTTTTCATACGCTATTGACACAGCTATAAAAAAGCCATTGCGGGGGCAATGGAAACACAGTTCTTTTTACGCGGTTGCACTATTAGCAGACAATGAGACAGCGTTTTAGTCGGAAAATAGTAGGGTTGCGTTTTGGGGTGAAGGTTTATGTGTGGATATAAGTCGTAGGATGATATATTGTTTTAAACTTTCATGGTCATTAACATTATAGCTTTTAACGGGATTGTTAGCATGTACCTTGTTTTTTATGAGTCTCCGATATTTCGGCACTGTTGCAAACGCCATGATCACGGAGTAACTGAAGTACATAATTGCGGGTAGTTGTTATTGCCAGACATATCGGTCTACCCTCTGACGTCGTCTTTTCTGCGCACGATACCCCTACCACTGGTCACATTCTCACTATTCACTCGCACCTGTTCCCGACACACAATACTCACATTATCAGTTCGCGGAATATCGGAGACTCAAAAAAACAAGGTACATGGTAACAATCCCGTTAAAAGCTATAAAGTGGTAGGATGATTTGATAAAGCAAATTTTTGCGATACTTCTAGGGATTTTGCGAAAACGTGTATAAATTAGACAATAGCGATGACATTGCTCAATCTTACTGGTAAAGATTTATTTTCTAGCGCTAAACCGGTCGCGTAGCAAGCACAGCTTTTAGCCTCCCAATGTAGCAATCGAATAGAAGGCCATATGTTTCTCGCTCCCCATAGCGCGAGAACCCATAGTTCTGGTCGATCCCGCCTCCCCTGTGTGTGCCGCCATCTTGGTATATGTTCGGCTCGTTCGCGCCCACGCTGCCCGAACAACATCTATATATCTCCTACACATACACTGGGGACTGATTCCCTAGCCAACTGACGATAATGTGATAGTTCGTCTATATATTGGTTTATGTCTCTTTCTAGAGTTGTCAATTTCATAAGACTGTCATTAATTCCTCTCTATTTTACTATTGTGCGATTCCTTTGTAGCGCGAGAAACCCGCATTCTGATTGTTTTCTTTGTCGAAATATACATACACATCATTTACTCAAAAAACATGGCGCTCCCAATAGTACGTTCGGGTAAAAGAGCTAAGTTTTCAATTGTTTATACACATCCTTCATCTAAAAACATCACCCTCCCAATAGTACAGTCTGGTAAGAGAGCCGTATTTTCAATTGTTCGCTGCGTGGTGCAATCGAGTAAAAGACGTCTGTTTCCCGTTTCCTTTATATAAATAAATATTTCCATCACTCACACCAATTAGCCTGGCCTCAAACTGTTAGGCTTGTGTTATGGGATGCTAGGGTACCGGATGGAATACATATACATATAACTATATTTATATAGAAATACATATTAAACATGACTGGAGGACAAATGCTCGTATTTATAACACAATCATCTGCCCCCACCGGGGGCCCGGATTCGAACCCGGGACCTCTCGAGTCGGTAACACATGAATCCCGGCGTACAAACCACTCGGCCACGGAGGTCCTCAAATAGCGTCCTATAGCATGAGAACTCCGAAGTCTTGTAGAAATTATTCCCTCTTAATGTAACAATCGGGTAAAAGACCTCTTGTTTTCCGCTCCCCGTAGCGCGAGAACCCGTCGTTCTGGTCGTTCCCGCCTCCGCTGTGTGTGCCGCCATCTTGGTATATGTTCGGCACATTCGCGCCCACGCCGCCCGAACAACGCGTGCGCGCGCCTCGCGCTAGAGCCGAGAGGCAACAGGCAGCCGCGCTCAAAGCGCCAGACAATGTCGACAAGTCAGTGTTTTACAAGTACAGAGTAAATGCAAAGAGGAGATGTTCTATAGGGTTTTGCTCTAAGGAATCCAGTAAAGCCACCACTGACGTATAAAAATAAACAAGGCTCCCAATCGCCTAACAAAAGTGCATCAAAAAACGGTTGAGGCGACGTTGTTATACATATACTTATTAGTGCAGTCATTGAAGCATTATAGCTCCGATTTTTTTTACTGTGAACCGCTAACAATTTTGGAATTAGGTTCATCTTACCCTTAACTTCAAAAGTGAAAATGATTTGAACTCCGCAACCACCCTGGGGGTGGTTGCCACCCTTTCTCGGGGGTGAATTTTTTTTTTTTCAAAATAACCTCGGATATCGATAGAAAGCCTAATTTTAAGCAAAAAATCATCTATAAAGTTTTACAAAAAATCCAATACTTTTCAAATTATTGGCAATTGAAAATTCGAATTTTTTTCCCGTTTTTCATCGGTTTTTTGCAAATATCTCCAAAAATATAAGTTTTATCGAAAAGTTTATAAAGAACAAAATTGTAGCAGGTAAAACAATAAACAATTGGTTTTTTATAAAGTATTCTAAGTGCATTATTAAGCTAGATATTAAAGATCAAAGCCGTTTTTTATTTTGTCTGAAATTTAATCGATGTGGTCAATGCCATCTAGCGGCGAGCAGATGCATTTTATGAATTCTAATACAAAGGAGTTTTGTAGTGCTTGAAATAAGCTTTAAAATGAGCACTATTAAAAGTCTTTTGCACGTAAAATAAGTGAGCTGTATTGAAAATAAGGAGAGCATCTAATGTTTTTTCTTTTTAAATCAATGGGTTTCATAAGTGCCATTTCCACCAAAATTAAAATTAATCGTCTTCCGCCTAGAATTAACTTTATTATGAAGAGTTTGATAGATAGTATCAGTTTGGCTGCTTCAGGGCACATATTTTTCAAAAAAGTCACGATTAAAAGAAAAACCAAAATTTCAAATTTTTAAAAAACCCACTTTTTTTTCATAATATCTCAAAAATGACGACAGATACGTATAAAAGTGTACGATTTAAAAATTTAGGTATTTTTCTGACAAACAATTTTGGTTTTTTTGTTTTTTCTGTCAAAATAAAATTGACGGAGATATGATTGTTTAAAGAGCGCGTGGCAGCGCAATCACAGCCTCTCTTAAGCCCTTTAACCCTTCACCGTTTTAGAAAAAGGTTTTATAATATATATTGCAATGAAGGATGTTGTAGCTCTCTTAATTACCTTTACAATGGTTTTACATAAATTGTGATAGCATGAAAATTGAAGGAGTTATGGTCCAAAAACTTATCATATTTTTTTCTACTTAGTAACTGAAAATTTCGAAGTGTGAATATTTGGAGCAATGTGAAAGTACGCAGTATAATAGAGACCCACAACTATTGTAATGTGTATATATATACATAATATGGCTCATATATTTTGGAAACGTAGGCATGAATACATACCAACGTTCTTATATGTATATATAATACATTTCATCATTTCATCATCATCATCATTCATCCAACGGATTGGGGGTGGGTCATGAATGACGGTTTATTAAATCCACTTAAGTCTGTAGATCCACCCGCACCACAAGAACTGCTGAAAATGATTTTTTTTGGTCTGTTTTGTAATAGTACCTGTGGAACGTGCAGTGGAGATAACTGCCAAAATAGCCTTCCAATCCAGCCAGAAGATGTTGAATGTGACAGCGACTCCGACATTGAGTCATGAATAATAATATTATATTTTAATAATAATAGTATAATTTTATTCAATAAATGGCAATTTTTTACTCTAAATTAAATTATTTTTAAATATGTAATATATATATATATATATGGGTTGAAAATGATTTTAATATGAGGTAATTATGTTAGAAAATACTTTACAATTTCATCACTTACTATTAGACATGTTTTCTAGCGATAAAATGGCTCAATGTCAATTTTTCCATTAAGGGGTTGTTTACACCCCTTAAAAATAATAGGCGGAGTTCAGATCATTTTCACTTTTGAAGTGAAGGGTAAGATGAGCCTAATTCCAAAATTTCATGCAAATCGGTTCACAGTAAAAAAATTCGGAGGTAAGACCGTATTTTTCGCTTCAATGACTGCACTATATCAACTTATACAGATAACATCTATATATCTCTATGTTTAAATCTAAAGAAAATATTACGCGAAAAACCAGGCAGCAGACGGGACTCGAACCCGTACCCTTCGTTATCCGGGCGAATGCACTGACCATTATGTTACCGCGGCCCTGATGGCCGTGTCGAATTCTTGCTTACCTTTCTTAAGCTGCAAGGCATTACCACATTTGTTCAAATTAACACGGTATGTCGTGGCAGTTAGGGTCCATGTCAATTTTATATATGCGAGAAAGAGAGAGTTTGATTACGATGCGAGAGAGATACACGATCATGTGACGTGCGGGGCGCACGGGGAGAGATTTTGTTGTAGCTATTAAAATGTAATTAATTGGCAATACAATAGAAAACCAATCCGCACTGGGCCGCATGGTGACTCATGACCCCATCTCACATCCATATTCCATCCATGAGGGGAGGCACTTTTTTTATTAGAAAACACCAGGATAGCTACGTAGTTTTGTTAGTTTAATGTGGATCTGGTGTCATTTGCACAGTTTTTACACACTCTGTCATTGCGTGCTGTTGTAATCAAGACGCGATCGATACACAACTGTTTTAAATTTACGCACATTAGACTCATGTGTGTAATTTAGCTTACGACACTTGTGGAGCGCGATTGTGAGTCTACTTGTTTTTATACTCAATGGAAACCGCTAAAGGAGATGTGGGTAGCATTAAATGACGCCAACAGCGCCTTTATTAACACTAGCAGCGAGTAGGGAAATTAAAATCATGCTGACGTGTACCAATAAGTTCCGCTATTCTTCACTAGATGGCAGTAGTATCAAGTTTTATTATATTAACTTATCTATTCACTTGACTGCATTTTTTTATAGGTATCTAAAGAAATTCATTACTATAATTCAATTTTTAATAGCAACGCATCGTCCCAAAAAGTAGATTCGAATAGGGATGATGACTATTTTTTTTTCTTCGTTTATCAGGTAGTATATATATAGACATTGCAGATATATATTGATTTGAAAAGTCGCATGACGTCACGTTTTGGTACAATTTTCACTTAAAAGTGATGTCACGAGCCGCTACTTCCAAACTTTGACGCGCTATAACTTTGTCTTTTTGTGGTTGATTGCCCAAAGAAAAAATACGTGTCCATTATTTTTTGATCATCTAACTGACGGACTAAATCCCCGATGACCCCGTCATCACCCCTATTGATATCAGCGCCTCTGATGCTGAGTGGTAATAACTGTTTATGAGTGACGTCAGTGTAACATTGGTGGAAATTGTGCTACATTTAGTACAGCAGCTCCTCTTTGTATTTGCTACCAAAATTATTACTGCAAAAATTTACTTGCTCTTCTTTTGACACAAAATAGAGAGTACAGAAGGTAATCACATGTATGTATATATATACTTTACTTTGCATGCCTACGCTCGGCGGTCGCGCTAGGCTTGTAAATTTTGAGCTTATGCACAAAAAAAATTATTGATTTATTGTCGAAAATGAAACAGAAAGAATGAAAATATAAATAAACCAATAATAACTAAAAGAATTAAATTTTAATTATTTTTACAAATAAAAACAATGATTTACTGTTCAATGTTGTATTCAAACAAACGTCCCCTGAACAGTTATAACTTTTTTCTTGCTTCGTTTTTGCACAAACACGCGTGTCTCAAGCGGGTGGAACTCGCGCTCGCAGTGGGCCCGACTGATCCGAGATATCGTGTTCGTGAGCGGTGTCTATGTATGCGTTGCTCGGGCGTACTTTGTTATTAGATTAAATTCTGTACTGACTATTTTGTGCTTTTTATAAGCATATATTATCACGTATACAGGGTGTATAAAACAATAGGGCAGATCACTAATAAATATTGTGTATCGGAATGTAACGAATTTACAAAACAAATTCATCTCTCATATAACTAATAAAGTAATATAAAGATATTGCTAAAGAACTTATTAAACGGCGTGTCAAATTGTTATCCTACGTGTTACATTAGTTCATATTTAGAATATCAATCACACTAATATTATAAAGGCGAAAGTTTGTGAGTGTGTATGTTTGTTACTTCTTCAAGTCTAAACGGCTTGAGCGATTTTAATAAAATTTGGTATGGAGTTAGCTGACACCCTGGATTAACACATAGGCTACATTTTTCTGCGTGGGATGTAACACCGCGGAGCACAACTAGTTAATTCCTAATATAACAGTTAGTATGTTTGTATGTTCGTTACTTAACCGCGTACAAAGTACTGAACAAATTTGAATTAAATTTGGCACGCATATAATTTATGACCTGAATTGATACATATAGTCCAGTCAATGAAGGCTTAACTTTGCCATTTTGAGTTGATCACCTGCAACCAACGCGAAAATTTCCGCAAGGGTTCGTAGATTAATATACTAAAATTGCAGGGTGCTGCATTGACGGCAAAGGGTGAAAAAAAAATGCGAAATGGTGCAAAAACGAGTTTTTCCTCAATATCTCGCGACTGGCTGGAAAAATAGAAAAAGTTCCTATTACAAAGTTGTAGAAAATTTAATTTCCTACAAAAAAGGTATCATCATATTTTCGCGTATCTCCCATAGTTTTTGCACAAAATGCAATTAAAGGTGCAAAATAAAAAAAGAAAATATATTGTTAATGTTTTTTTTTCCATTTTTAAACGATCCTACGGGTCAAATTCAACAATCACCACTTACTGAAATATTTAAGGATGAGTTTTCGGCAGTCCACTGAAATGAAAATTGTCTACCGAAATGGTAAAAAAATGGCCACCGAAATGATACAGCCAAGAACATCGCCTTTGTAGTAGAAGGGTACCCTATTTTGAATTTTAATAAATTTCCTTATTAAATATTTTTGTTCATTATTTTTTAATAAGAATTATTAATGAAGAATTAATTAATTGTTACTCCTATTAATTATTATTACTAATTATAATTATTAATATGTACATTTTCAAAATAACGAACAAAGCGCGTTTAGAAAGCGAGAAGTTTATTAGTTACTAAATCGTCCCCTTAGTGCCAAAACCGATTATCTGCACTTTTCCGCTACTAAACTTTTATAATACCAATCGACCCGTCTCATTAAGCCGCATCTACAGGTAAAACCCATTATGCTCTACAACGCATACTTCCTGAAATAGCTAATGAATAAACAGAATAACTGCAAATTATTTCCAAAATTCTTGATTTAAAACCTAATAAACCCATGCAAAACACTTAAGTTTGTAAATGTATTACCGCTGAAACCAAGTTTCGGATTTAAACTCATTTTTCATGTAGACACTTAGAGTAAATATCCTGTGAGTATCCTGTAATTGACTTTGATTATTTGAATTTTACCAGATAAGGGGACGATTTACTAACTAATAAACTTCTCGCTTTCTAAACGCGCTTTGTTCGTTATTTTGAAAATGTACATATTGATAATTATAATTAGTAATAATAATTAATAGGAGTAACAATTAATTAATTCTTCATTAATAATTCTTATTAAAAAATAATGAACAAAAATATTTAATAAGGAAATTTATTTAAATTCAAAATAGGTAACCCTTCTACTACAAAGGCGATGTTCTTGGCTGTATCATTTTGGTGGTAATTTTTTTACCATTTCGGTAGACAATTTTCATTTCAGTGGACTGCCGAAAACTCATCCTTAAATATTTCAGTAAGTGGTGATTGTTGAATTTGACCCGTAGGGTCGTTTAAAAATGGAAAAAAAAAACCATTAACAATATATTTTCTTTTTTTATTTTGCATTGCCTTTAATTGCATTTTGTGCAAAAACTATAGGAGATACGGGAAAATATGTAGATACCTTTTTTGTAGGAAATTAAATTTTCTACAACTTTGTACTAGGAACTTTTTTTACTTTTCCAGTCAGTCGCGAGATATTGACGAAAAACTCGTTTTTGCACCATTTCATATTTTTTTTTCACCCTTTGCCATCAATGCAGCACCCTGCAATTTTAGTATATTAATCTACGAACCCTTGCGGAAATTTTCGCGTTGGTTGCAGGTGATCAACTCAAAATGGTAAAGTTAAGCCTACATTGACTGGACTAATTGGATACTTTTCATCTCGGACCAATGACAAGTTCCTGTGGGGTTCTCGAAAAGTAAAGGTAACGCTGCCGAAGTCGCGCTAATTACCACATAAATAATAATATTCTTTACAAGCGGCTGCCCGCGACTTCGTACGCGTGGAGTTAGTTAGAAATAAATGTTCACTGTTCGTTCCCCGTAGGTGATAGCCTGATAATATATAGCCTATACGTTGACCCGACTTCTTAATAATATTCGTGCCAAATTTGAAGTAAATCCATGCAGTGCTTTTTGAGTTTATCCCGGACATACATACAGACAAACATAAAAATTCTAAAAACTATATTTTAGGCTTCGGTATCGATTTTAGATCACACCCCAAGTATTCTTTTAAAAAAATATTCAATGTACAGTTTTGACTTCCCTACCATTTTATTATATGTATAGATTGTAATACGCTATACAAGACACACAAGTACATTAAAAATTGTAAATTTTTACACCAAAATGACTTATAGTCCGGTTAATCTAGACATTCAAAGGTAACATAAATTTACATCAAGCTGGAAGTGAGTAAAATTGTTCAAAACAATTACAAAATAACATTACCAAATGCCCCATCGTTTCGGTACTTGGAAAAAAAATATTCGAGGGCAAAGGTAAAAAAGTGGGTTTTTCGCGGTTTTCATCAAAACGGTAAGTTTTGTCGTAAAATAACTGCAGACAAAAGTTATCTATAAGAAATGTATGTTTTTTCCTAAGGGACACCGTTCCTGTGATATAACGATTTAAACTACCTGCTTAAATGAGTATCGATATGCATGTTTTGTTAAAAACACTTGAAATAAAAAAAACAATGTAATTCCTCCAACCTCAGTTGTTGCTCATCAATACCTTTTTCGGGTGTATTACTAAGTTCAATTTCGAAATGTTATTTTTAAATTTAAGTGATGTAAATTTATGTAACTTCACTCTTATTTTTATGTCTAACTCGAGCGGATTATTAACGATGATACTTTAGATTTTATTCAAAACGGAATAGAGATATGACAAGTTTCTTCACATGAATCTTTTATCCTACATGCCATTTCACCCGCTGCCCTATTGTTTTGTACACTCTGTACAACGATATTAAATACTCTAGATACATCATACTCGCTCAAAATGTGACCCTATCAAGAAGTGCTTGAACTCTACTCAAGCACTTCTTGGTCCACAGTCACGCGCGGATCGTTGAAAAGTCAAGATGCCGCAGAGCTCCGTGAAAAAATGCGAAAAATATACTTATAGTATGTAAAGTGTCGTTTTTTCGACAGGTGTCTAATCAATGTTTGTTAATTTAACGCATTTGAAGCAAATTTTGTTCTAATACTTACTATAAACTGATTTCATAGAAAATATTTGTTATATTCAAATGCATGGTCAGTAATATAGCCGTCTCTTCCTCGCGGTCCGTACCTGCTATATTGCTAACAGCGCATTCAGAATTGCCAGTAGAGTCAAAGAAATACAAGTACGGTCTATATTCTTCTGCTTAAAAAGCAATAAATTGTAATATCTTACGAGCTTGCATTTCGAACTGTCATAACTCTTTGACGCATGCGTTTTAATTATGACTTTATATAGTATGCATTAAAGGTGACTTTCATTGTTTAAATAATACCTTATATTATTTTTTACTATGCGATCATCTTACGGAGCTTCGTGGATCGTCCAATGTACCTTTTGGACAGGTTTCGGGCACGGTTTTGTTCGTGTTGGTGTATCTAGGGTATTTAATATCGTTGTCTCTGTACCTATATTATGGTTTGTGGCACAAAGGTTATTTAGATTTTATATATTAAGAACCCCTCCGGTTCGAGTGGTCTAGAGGCTCCAGACGGAGAGGAGACTCCCCGTGTAGACCAGGGTCGATAATTTTTGAGACCAAAAAAAATATTAGTAGGATGAAACCCATTAGTACTTACTATAATTTTTATAATTACTATAATTTTTTTTTACTTTTCACCATTTTTAAAATTATCGACCCTGGTCTAGTGGGCAGATGCCATCCGCCTGGAATACCTGTAGAGGCACTCGCCAATTCTCGGCTTGAGGTCCCCTTAGGATCTCGCCGTCCCTAAACCCCGTGATGCTGTAAAGATCACCTGCTACCACCAGCATACATACTCAAAAAAAATCATTTTAGAACAAAAGCTTTTTGACTAAAGATGTTCATAAAGATATTTCTTGAAAGTTGCAAGTGATGCTGAGTGACGGACTTCTGATGGAAGGTTATTCCACAAGATTGCAGCTCTGATAGTGAATGAATACCTTAGTCTCCCAGCGTAATAATATGCACCATAGCTGCAAGGTCGCTACCGAACCTTAAGAAAATGCTTCTGCCTCAACATCATTTTCAATTTTTCAGGCTAGAGAAAGTCGAGGAAGGCTCAGAGATGGTGACGCGGGTGAACCGGTTCATCCAGAAGAGTTACCGGACTAGCACCAAGCCCCTGAGCTATTTCCACCTAGTCCTGGACCCTGATAGCTTCGCGCGTACCGTGGAGAATATATACAACGTGTCGTTCCTGGTCAGAGATGGGATGCTGGCGGTTCAATTAGGTATGTAATACTGATCTTATTATCATCAGCATATTATTTTTGACGACCTCCGTGGCTAGACTGATATGTACGTAGACCCGTCTTTCCCAGTGGGCACTTTGGGCAAGTGCCTCAGATCAAATACAAAGTCCCTAGTTCCTGTTAAATCACCAAACGGAAGTCATCGGGGCCCCATTATCCTAATATGCCCAGGGATTCCAATAGGTCAAAGACGGCACTGTATGTACGCCTGTTTTAAGCCTGTGTCTGTTAAGGTGTCACCTACTCAGAGGTCCTGGGTTCGAATCCCGTGGAGTAGTATGTAGTATGGTTTTCAAGGTGTCACCTACTCGAGAGGTCCCCGGGTTCGAATCCCGGTGGGGAAAATGTTTGTGTGATAAATACGAGCTTTTGTACTTGAGTCATGGATGTTTATTATTCATATCTTAATAAAAATATACATATATGTATTAGTATATGTATTCTATCCGTTATCCTAGTATTCCATAATAACACACCACCACTAAAGGTTTTTGTTATTGTACTGTGGTCTCTGTAAGGTGGAAGTTATTTCCTTAGACGGGCGCTTCAGTTGGAGCGGAAAATACTCTGTGCCCTGTTCTTAGAAGCTTTTGAAAAGCTCGATGGCACAAGTGGTTAGCGCATTCGGCCGCGATCGTTGGAGTTCACAACTTTCGCAGTGGTCGGTCATTGGATGGGTGACCAAAAATTTACTATCTCGAGCTCCTCCGTGCTTCGGAAAGCACGTTAAGCCGTTGGTCCCGGTTGCATCTGCAGTCGTTAGCACCAATTTTAAACATACCTACATAACCTATCCGCACTGGGCCCGTTTGGTGGGTCATGGCTAGTGTTGCCAGGTCCGATTTATTTTAAATCGGTACATGAGGTCAAAAGATATCTGGATTTAGGGTTGCAGATCGGGACAGTAAACAAAAAACAAGGGGTTTATAAGTCTGGCTTTAATTTATTGCGTTTTAAAGTACTAGTGCAAGTATAGTATTATATTAATTACCTATTTTTTTTCATTAATCGGGACATTAAGCGTCCCGATCAGGTAATCGTGACGCGTCCCAGACTCCTGAAAATCTGGGCGTCCCGCGCAAATCGGGACACCTGGCAACACTAGTCATGGCCCAATCTGCCTGTTCCATCCATAGGGAAGGCCTGTGCCCCAGCAGTAGGGACATTAATAGGCTGATGATGATGATGATGAATGAAAAACTAACTGTTCCGTAGTGTAACAGATTTTTTAAGAAGACAACACATATTGGAAGATTGTATTTTTTTTTTTTTTAATTTATGAATGGGGTAGGTGACAAACCGTATTTTCGTTCTGAGCCTACCACTGTGCCTTGTGTGTTGGTATGACTTTACGGCCGACGCCAGCACCAATGAGCGAGTAGTTCACTTCGAGTCCCCGACGTGTAAGCAGCTATCAACAGCTCTAAAAGAATTTTTCGTTACATCAAGTGAGAGTACCCCTTTCTCTGGAAGACATCGTGGACCTTGGACTCCTATGTGTGATATATTGCCGGTAATAGTTTCCCAAGAGCGTTGACGAGCCCCGTTCTGAAGCCTAGCCCTAGGTACCCGTGGCGGTGTAAGGAGCGTTTGGATAATTCGCCGAACCCCGGCTTTTATCATACACTAACATTATAATGTTTTGTATCCAGATGAGGAATTCGGTTTGCCGTTCGTGACTCCATTAGCTGGGAGCGACGCGGGCGGAGGGGACATCACCGAAGAAAACCAGTTTATTGTATCAATAGACATACAGCGGTGGCAGGTGAGCAATAACTAACTTTGACGACCTCCGTGGCCGAGTGGTTTGTACGCCGGGTTTCATGGCGTCGCTGACTCGAGAGGTCCCGGGTTCGAATCCCGGTGGGGGCAAATGTTTGCGTGATGAACACTAGCATTTGTATGTTTAATATGTATTTCTATATAAATATACTTATATATGTAAAGTAGGCTAGGCTAATTGGTGTGTTGGAAAAAAAAACTGGTTCATTTATGGGTCAAGGTATACTTATCTAATATATAAAATTCTCGTGTCACGGTGTGCGTAATTGAATTCCTCCGAAACGGCTCGACCGATTTTCGTGAAATTTTATATGCATATTCAGTAGGTATGAGAATCAGGCAACATCTATTTTTATCCCCCCAAATGTTAAGGGCCCACCCTTAATTTATTTTCTTTGGACAATATTTTTTGTTTTTATTTTTTTATGAGACATCATACAAAAATATATACAACCCTAAATTTTCACCCTTCTACCACCAACCCCTATTTTTATGGCGGTACGAAGTTAGCTGGGACAGCTAGTGTTGCTATAATAAAATACCAAAAGAAATTTACCTTTTAATAAGTTTAAAGTGTGTATAAAATCTTGTCTCCCTAAGAAAGGTTACTATACTGTTAAAGATTTCGTAAATGATAAGGCACCTTGGGCTTAATATAATAGACTGAAGTCGTTTTACTTTGCTAATTTGGTTGAAAATTGTTTAATCGCCACTTTGAAATTTAAAAATAGTACCTAGCTAGTAGCTATTAACTTATTGTTAATTAATAATATTAATGTGATGAAAGTTGACATCAACAGTTTTCAGTTTTTGATGTCACCTTTCAATTGACGACACTGTATGAAACAAAACAGGGAGAAAAAAATAGCCATTGCTGAGTTTATTGCCGGTTCTTCTCAGTACAAGGTCTCCCGCCGTAGATTTACGAACCGATGGCGTAGCGTTTGAATTTCACAAGAGCTTGTAACAGCCTAGACTGATAAATGAGTTTGAGTAACCACTATGGACGTACCATAATAAACAATATATTCCTTTACATAATTTTCAAAAAGTCCACGCTTTAAAAAAGTCTACGCGATCCAGGCAGCAGACGGGACTATAAATAATAAATAAATATTTTCAACATTCACACCAATTAGCCTAGCCCCCAAGTAAGCACTGTAAGGCTTGTGTTATGGGATACTAGGGCAACGGATAGAATACATATACTCTACATGTATATTTATATAGAAATACATATTTAAAATCCATGACTGGAGTACAAATGCTCGTATTCATCACACAAACATTGCCCCCACTGGGATTCTAACCCGGGACCTCTCGAGTCGGCGACACCATGAAACCTGGCGAACAAACCACTCGGCCACAGAGGTCGTCTCGGTCATGGGACTCGAACCATCCTCCAAAAAAAATTCTTTAGACAGTAAATGCAACGATATTAAATACCCTAGATGCACCACGAGCGCTCAAAATGTGTCCCAATCAAGAAGTGCTTGAACACGATTCAAGCACTTCTTGGTTCACAGTCACGTGCGGACCGTTGAAAAGTCAAGTGCCGCAGGGCTCCGTGAAATTATGCGAAAAAAAAATACTTATAGTATGTAAAATATGTCGTTCTTTCGACAGGCATCTAATCAATGTTTGTTAATTTAACGCATTTGTATCTATTGTATTTAATATCGTTGCTTGAAATACTGATTTTCATGATGAAGCACGTCCAAGTTTGGGAGCGGGAGATCGTGATATGACTTTCAAGTAAAAATTGTATCAAGTAGTGACGTCATGCGACATTTCAAATCAATATTGTTGATATTCACATAATCAAAACATTACAGAGACAATATTGTAAAGGACATTTTATAATATTTTATAATATTTTTTTATTAATTATTACGTGTTTATAATTCTCGTACAACTTTCGTGAAATAATCAAACATTTAAAAGTATAAAAATTGACTTCATGTCTGTTTCAAAGGAAAAATGTTCCGTTTTACTAAAATAAGTGAACAATAAATGTATACTAAAAATATTTCTGTCAGTATATCGAAATAAATAATATTAATTCAAAACTCCCAAAAACTTTGACGTATTGGACCTTATTTTTATTATAACAAATCACTGAAAGACTAAAATAATAGATATTATTTTTCTGATCAGGCTTCAGCGAAGGCTGTATGATAATCAATGCTTTGATTTTTGCAAATGAACAAAATAAAACTTCAGAGACTTCATGTCAAGCCGACGACAAAAAGTTATTTGTATTTATTTTTAGTTTTAAAAATGCTTTTTGTGAAGTGTTAATCAGATAAATGTGAAGAAATATTCTAAGAAAATGCGAAATTGATGACTCTGTAAATATTTGATAACATCTTTTATCAAATGTAGCAAGGTATTGACGTCGTAGGCGATCTCTTAATTTTCAAGATTGTGACTTTATCAAAAGTTCCTGAGCCCTTTTTCATAGAAATTATAAATATTCAGGCATTCTGCATTATATATTACTAAATACAATATTTATACATTGCTAGGGCAGTCGCTCATACAAAATTTTACCATGTCCTTTGTAAATTTAAGAACCCGGAATACCTTTACAAAAAGTTACAGTTTCGTACCTTCCATTCTCGATATGGTAGGTGTTTGCAGATCAATACGTCCGATATTGGCGACTATATATAAGATATGAGACAGTGGCATTTACGGGTAGTTTCCGCCACCAAGCGACTAAATGTTGGAATGATTTACCTCCTCCTATAAGACACATAATATCAAGGTACACTTTCAAAAAGCAAGTTATATAGCCTAACTAAGTTTAGGCTATAGTACGAGAGCCCACGACCAAAATTTTTGTCTCATAGCAATACGGCCAAAACCGCATCAAATCAATTATCTTGAACTCGAAAATACCAATATCAGACATTTTCCGCGTAGCGTTTGATCTGACCGAATTTTCAAAATTGTCAAAGAATTTTACCGAACTGCATCATAGCAATATGTCTGATTTGCAGACTGTAGTTGAATGATAGTTCTGAGATACCGGAAACATATTTTTCAGACGTTAGTGGTGTAGCGCAAACCCGTAAAATCACTTAAAAAAATTAAAAATGAGACAAAAAAAATGTCTCATAGCAATACGTCTGAAAATCTTTTTTATTAGTAAATTTTGGTTATTTGATGTGAACAAAACAATTTTCAGACGGAAATGTGAACGCATTAAATTTTGAGACCGTTTTGAAAATGTTAACAAATTTTACCGATCGGTATCATAGCAATATGTCTGAAAATTGTTGGACATGATAAAATAAGTTGTCCACATGTGCAAAAAATTTATATCAGACAAATTAAGTGTAGCACCTTCTCTATCAGACAACTTTTCGATACTCAGATATCATTTAAAAATCATATTGAGGCATCTTGAATTTTCTGTTACAAACCAATCAGGAGCGTAACAAGCGCTGAGGCTGTTGAAATTAAATACTGATTGATTTGATAGTTTTGGTTTTATTTAAAGCACGAAAGAAATAAGTAATGACATCTGTCAAAGTACATATAATAGACAAGGGAGATTCTTGAATATCTATGAAGGCTGTAAATTTAAAAAAACATTTAACAGAGGCGTCGGCCAGGCGACTCCGAAACGTTATTTTCGTTTTTGGGAGTATATGCTACACTTAAAGTGTCTGGAAACAGGTTTTTGGTAATCATGGCAGCAATACGAAAAGTTGAAAAAAAAATTATCCGTATTGCTATGATACAGGTCGGCTAAAGGAGAATGCTCATGGATGTATGGACCGCCGTACAATGGTTGCATCAATACCAAACAAATGTTAAATGATCGTTTAATATTCAAATTAGTATGACAAATTGGAATTTTGAAAATAAAAACAGGGGTTTTAATGTTATTGTAAAAAATGTGACATAACCTCAAATCCTTAATAACTCCTATTTAAAGTTGGTTTACAGCTATTTTGGGTACTTTTTTATTCTGTTATTTTTGATCAACTTAGTCTTTCACTGTTTTTCCAACCTACTGCATAGATTTTCATGATAACACAGATTTCAGTGATGGCAGATTTACGTATAGGTAAATAAAAACATTAATAAGACACTTTTTATTAGATTACATATATTAATTGTACACATTATATTTGAATTACCAGTATATTTCAAATCAACATAATCTTCATGGAAAAAATAATCTAAATAAGGCGCCAGCGCAGTAACATCATAGTAACGACCCCAACTTAAAAACTAAACTACAGTCATTATGTGGTCCTAACAGCCCACAGGTTGTTTACCAATGAGACAGCTGCAATAATAACCTTTTATAGCCTCTAATGTGTCTGCAAAAGCAGCATCTCTACTGATAAGTAAATATGAGTTATATGTACGCTGCTTAAGTATCTGGATTTAATCCTACCTCTTAATAAATAATTATTTAGACCTAAAACAAGAGGAATATCATCTACAAACAAACAATTTCTAGCTTTTGTCTTACAGTGTTCTAATGTAGCTCCAGGATTATTGAAAAGAGTGGCCAATCTTTCGTTGCTATCAGCAGTTCTTATTTTAACTAAATAAATACAAAAGGCTATAGAAGCGTTTGGCACTTGATCTGCTAGATTGGTCATACAGTTGAGCAAATTATAAAACTGTTCAGAGTTCATACCAAGCCAATAATGACATAAATGAGGAGACATAATTGAAATATTAGAAAAATCTAATTTGTAATTGGCTGATCGCTGTATCATAATCATTACATTATCAAACTGTGTGCCAGTAAAATCTCTTAATTAAGATGTTAATTCATTCCATGGTTCATGGAATTCAAATAGTGATGACAAACACATGCACCAGCTGGTATGCACAATTTATTATTATACAATAAGAGATTCCTGATGGTAGATGAAATAAGTAGACATTCAGGCTCTAAACAATTTTAAAGACACAGTGACCAGGAGAGTTAGCAGCATGTATGATGATGATGATACAATTTTTAGAGTCACTTGTTGAACTGCTTCTAGTCTTGGTTGTGGCAGAGGAGGTGGCACAGGTATAGAACAATTGCCACTTAATGTAGTATCTCCAAGAGTAAGGCGATTTGAGTCATGTTGTTGTTGCTTTTGTACTTGTTGAGTTGCTGATCTCCAACATGCAGCACATACATGTTCCATTCTTGAGATCTAAAATATAACATTAATAAGAAATGAATAATTAATATGGAAAATTCCTTTTTGTTTATTTTAAAATAACAGTTTGATAGGTCTCAAGTTAACTCTTGCAAGTTATAAAAGTTAAAATATGATGTCTACAAATCAATGTAGGAATTTCTGTATTCTCTCATCATCTATTAGCTGTCTAGTGATAACAAAACAAATAAAAGAAAATCTAAATGTTACCATGATTACTATAAACATTTTAGTTCTAGATTTGTAATTATATATGATATGCAATAATAATACACAGTAATAATAGTTTTCTCATAAGATTGTGATAGTAAATGATTCCTAACCTAAGTATCTAGAACTGTTATTACTTTTTTAAGAAGTCAAACAAAACAGTTAATATATATTTCATACAGTTAGTTGCACATGACATTAGACAAACAATATTAGCTCACCTGAGTAGGAATTATCCATGACTATAATATGTTGAGGGCTAAACTGTTCTTCTACAAGAAAATATCAAGTATCACCTCTTGGGCCCTGGAAATACAGTTTTACAATACACTGGTTTAACCAGTCAAATAGTCTAATAGTCATCGATTCCTCATTTGAAGTAGAATACATGTTTAATGTTCTTAATGCGTGAGTAGAGAACACTACAAACACACATACGGTAAATAAATGTCCTGTCGTGAATGCACTGTTTTTTTCCTGAAAACGTCTTGCCTGTCTTAACAATTCAGAAACAAAATCGTTTGATACGTTCACACGCAATCATTATCACTTCTCAAAATATATGTAAAAAACTCAATCAACACAAAAATAGGAGTAACAACAAAACATTTGACAATTCCCCACTCATTTGCATTTGCAATAGGGTTATAGGGTAGGGTGATGATGATCTGACATTGAATATACGAATAATCGCTGAATTGAAAATAAAATGATTTTGTTTAAAATCGATTTTACGCAATGAATAAATCAAATCAGATACAAATAAATCCAGATTCAATTAATTAATAAACAGCATAGAAATAAATATAATTACTAGGTACTACTTAGTTAATGATGAAATCGACAGTTAGGTGAGCGCCTTCTATAAAAACAACGATTAATGATTTCCGCGGAATTAACACTATCAATACGTGTCGATTTTTTAAACTTAGATTCGAATACCCCGGCTACACGTTCCGTCTTACCTAAGAGCATGCCTGCACAGATTAACTAGCCTCTCTTTGTCGTCCGTCCCTCTCTAACTTAGATACTTTTATGGACGTAGAACAGGACGCGGCACAAGCCAATGTACAATTATTGTATTTTGCGTTATAAGGCCTTTAGACTACGTAGGCAAGACAAAGCGCTGGGTAAGCACGTGACTCTTTTTGTCCGACTACCTACATGCTCGACATTTTATCATTTTCATCTCTATGCTTAACACGTTACATTCAGTAAGTAGACACTACATACAGCAAGGGACGTGATAGGAAAGTGTCGAATTAAGCCAAGCGACGGGTTACTGAATGCGACGTATTAAGCATAGAGACGAAATAGATAAATGACGATTTGTCATCGCAACAGTTAAGACAATAAAAAAGAAAAATCACTATTAAACAATAATTAGTAACACGTGATTTATTTGTTTTTTGATGGTCCACTCATCGGTAACAAAAACAACAATCGATTATAATGTTTAACTAATAGGGTACTATGGCATCACTATTTTTACGATAAATAAACAAACGTCAGATATCCGGCTTAAAATATAAACAGTACTATAACTAATATTATTTCTAAAATTATTCCCTGTTCAAAATAGCCATTCTGATAGACCATCGTACGTATAAATTAAAGAAAATAATTATCATAATAATTTTATCTTGAGGCATGAGACAAAGCTGTACCAAATATGGGCATTCTCCTTTGTTGACATTTTTAAAAATGCGCTCAGACTATATGCTACGCGCAAAATGTCTGAAAACAAACTTTTTCGTAATACAATAATAAAAACTATGTACATTTTCACTATCAGACGTATTGCTATAATACCGACTGTCTTTTTTTTGACACAGCAGAGATGGCCTCCCACGCAGTTGCTACACTTTCGACCGTTACTACACACCTAGTCGGGTTCAGAATCATACAATCTAACGATTTTATAGGGTTTTTGCCGTATTGCTATGAGACATGGTTTTGGTCGTGGGCTCTCGTACTACTACGCACTAATTGTCGTTTTGGTGTAGGTTCTTTTGTTAGCATTCAATCTTCTTGAAATTCAAATTAAAATTTATATTTTATATTATTACTTTCACTTATTTGTTTAATATTGTCTACACAATTTTGTTTTTTAATGATTACTTTCATATATTCCCCCACAGGACAGGCTAAGCCTAGTGTGGGGGCTAGAAATCTGTAAAATTGTTGTGAAATTTGGAAATAAATTATTATTATATTATATTCATTTATTATTATTTACAAAAATTTATTAGCAAGTATTGCTAGGTAAATTAATAATGCAGTAAAAGATGTTCGTGTATTATATGTGGGACTATGGAATTGCAATGCCAGCTTTGTAGCGCACCTACATCCTCGCGCTTCTTACGGGCAGTTGCTGAAAATCAGCATTTTGTCTTTTAACACAAAGGCATTGCTGAGCTTCTGCCTATTCGCTTCCTACGGGCAGTTGCTGAAAATCAGCATTTTGTCTTTTAACACAAAGGCATTGCTGAGCTTCAGCCTATTCGCTTCCTACGGGCAGTTGCTGAAAATCAGCATTTTGTCTTTTAAGGCAAAAGCATTGCTGAGCTTCTGCCTATTTGCATCACTGACACTCACTAATAACTGTTGTTCAGACTAGAGTTATTTAAGAACTGTTTAAACTTATAATCTTTTATGTCTGCTTATTATTTATTGTATTAATTTGTGATGCAAATAAATGAATGAATTGAATTAAAAAAAAAGTGTCCAATACTTTTTAGGGAGCAGTTATCTGTCATATTTCGTTATTTATTTATTTATATCACATTGCTCATGTACATTATTTATTATAAGGTCTTACATACTTAATAGTGAGTGGTACATGACCCCGTTGAGGTGTTACAACAAACTTGAGCTTAACATTAAATACATTAATTTCACTTAATTGTTGTTCATATTAAATCAAATCCGGTCCAACCAAATTTAAACAAAATCAATCCATTTTAAAAATTAATCAAGTCAATTTCTATCATATCATGTCATCATAATCATATCATATCATCATAGTCAAATCAAAATCATATCTTATCAAGTTAAAAGTAAAAGACCATTTGACCGAAAATGGTCTGCAAGAACGATTTATTGGTTTTTTGGTCCTTTGGAAAGGTAAAGCACCTTTCTTTTTTCACCCCACGCCACTGTAGCCTACTCTCGAATTTTCAATTTGACTATCGTTATATGAAATCGTGTAATTTTGTTTCAGGAGCTAATAGAAGCGTTCGATATAAAGAAACCCATGATGGTTCTGAAGAGGAGTTAACACTTGGATACAAGTTTTTACGTAGCTTTATAATGAATGACCTGTTATTAAAATTGATTTTTACACAGAAACTAATGTCTTTTCATTATTTAATGAATATCGACCGAACCTCATTTTGGTAACATTGAATCTAAGGTTTTCGTTTAAAATTCTTAAAAGTTCACAAGAAAATTCAACCAAGATTTTATCGGACGTGAACTCTTCCTTCGCATCGGAAGGACGTGAACTCTTCCTTCGCGCATGGGAAGGACGTGAACTCTTCCTTCGCATCGGAAGGACGTGAACTCTTCCTTCGCGCATGGGAAGGACGTGAACTCTTCCTTCGCATCGGAAGGACGTGAACTCTTCCTTCGCATCGGAAGGACGTGAACTCTTCCTTCGCATCGGAAGGACGTGAACTCTTCCTTCGCATCGGAAGGACGTGAACTCTTCCTTCGCATGGGAAGGACGTGAACTCTTCCTTCGCATGGGAAGGACGTGAACTCTTCCTTCGCATGGGAAGGACGTGAACTCTTCCTTCGCATCGGAAGGACGTGAACTCTTCCTTCGCATCGGAAGGACGTGAACTCTTCCTTCGCATCGGAAGGACGTGAACTCTTCCTTCGCATCGGAAGGACGTGAACTCTTCCTTCGCATCGGAAGGACGTGAACTCTTCCTTCGCATCGGAAGGACGTGAACTCTTCCTTCGCATCGGAAGGACGTGAACTCTTCCTTCGCATCGGAAGGACGTGAACTCTTCCTTCGCATCGGAAGGACGTGAACTCTTCCTTCGCATCGGAAGGACGTGAACTCTTCGTTCGCATGGGAAGGACGTGAACTCTTCCTTCGCATCGGAAGGACGTGAACTCTTCCTTCGCATCGGAAGGACGTGAACTCTTCCTTCGCATCGGAAGGACGTGAACTCTTCCTTCGCATCGGAAGGACGTGAACTCTTCCTTCGCATCGGAAGGACGTGAACTCTTCCTTCGCATCGGAAGGACGTGAACTCTTCCTTCGCATCGGAAGGACGTGAACTCTTCCTTCGCATCGGTAGGACGTGAACTCTTCCTTCGCATGGGTAGGACGTGAACTCTTCCTTCGCATGGGTAGGACGTGAACTCTTCCTTCGCATCGGAAGGACGTGAACTCTTCCTTCGCATCGGAAGGACGTGAACTCTTCCTTCGCATCGGAAGGACGTGAACTCTTCCTTCGCATCGGAAGGACGTGAACTCTTCCTTCGCATCGGAAGGACGTGAACTCTTCCTTCGCATGGGAAGGACGTGAACTCTTCCTTCGCATGGGAAGGACGTGAACTCTTCCTTCGCATGGGAAGGACGTGAACTCTTCCTTCGCATGGGAAGGACGTGAACTCTTCCTTCGCATGGGAAGGACGTGAACTCTTCCTTCGCATGGGAAGGACGTGAACTCTTCCTTCGCATGGGAAGGACGTGAACTCTTCCTTCGCATGGGAAGGACGTGAACTCTTCCTTCGCATGGGAAGGACGTGAAATCTTCCTTCGCATGGGAAGGACGTGAACTCTTCCTTCGCATGGGCAGGACGTGAACTCTTCCTTCGCATGGGTAGGACGTGAACTCTTCCTTCGCATGGGTAGGACGTGAACTCTTCCTTCGCATGGGTAGGACGTGAACTCTTCCTTCGCATGGGAAGGAAGGGAACTTTTCCTTCGCATGGGAAGGACGTGAACTCTTCCTTCGCATGGGAAGGACGTGAACCCTTCCTTCGCATGGGAAGGCCGTGAACTCTTCCTTCGCATGGGAATGACGTCGAATTTGAGTCATCGTGCTCATCACTCAAATAAATGCCCACTCCAGGATTTGAACCCGGTTACTTAGGGGCAGAAGCGCTGCCATTACAGCAATCAGTCGTGTCGTGTCATATGTCAATGGATGTCTCTTAAAATAAAATTCAAACACGGATATGCTTGCTCAAAATATATTCCACATATTATAATATAATAACATAACATCTTCCGCGCGAATCACGTTAATATTACCACTTTACAACAATATAATAATTCCTTACGTCATAAATAAATAGGGCCATTTTTTTTACAATATAACTATCTAGGTACATCGAAGAAAATTAGTGATATTATGGTCTGTTTCAAACCAATTTGTTTAGTGAAAACAAGCTATTCATTCTTTTTTTTCTAAGTAACTCACGTTACAAAGTTGGCATTTCATTAGCTTAATTATAAAGAACACTTCAAATACTCGAATTTAACATTATTAAATAGATTGTCCGTAGCGTTCCGTCATTCCTATCACCTGTTCGTAGTGCAACAATAATGAAAAATAATATGAAATTAATCTTTTTTGCCAGTTTTACACTAAATAATGTATTTTTTCATTAGAATTATTATCACACATTATCATCAAGCCTTTTAATTTCCCACTGCTGGGACACAGGCCTTCCCTATCGGATATAAAAGGATGGTATACACAGGGACTAATAATTACATGAACGATGTGTGAAACTAGGAATTCTGAAGTGAAAATTCATTACGGCGTAATCCTAATGGGAGTAAGCTGGCGTACGCGTTACGAAAAGTGTGATCGGACGAGGCGAACAGGAGCTAGGTGGCAGATACAAGCGAGAGAAAGCAATGCGCGCGCACATTTTCACATACGATGGAGCTAAAGAAGTTTCACTTCAGTCGTGTGGTCATAAGCACACTCGTTTTTTTTATTTGCCTTAAATATGTTTTTTAAAGATGTTCCGTCATTAGTATATTTAGTTCAGTATAGACGCTTGGGATACCAAAAATATCACTCGCGCAGTTGCCTGCCTTGACCCAACCCTTGGAGCCCTGGAACCTTATTTATCGACAGAAACACAACACCACCGACCCCCTCAGGTTCGAGTGGTCTAGAGGCTCCAGACGGAGGGGAGACTCCCCTCGTGGGGAGATGCCATCTCCGCCTGGAATACCTCTAGAGGCACTCGCCTATTCTCGGCTTGAGGTCCCCTAAAGCAAGCCATACACGCTAGGGTTTACCTGCATGTATGTCACATAACTGCGCAGGTTTTCACGCCTGTACAGGCAACTTCAAAAGATATGAATTATGATATTTTCTACCTGTGCAGTTTAACTGTGCAGGTAAAACTGAGCGTGTGTGGCGATCGTCTGCGCAGGCGTCAGTTGTCCGGTGATTGTAAGAGCGATCGGGGTCATGGTTTCAACTGAAAGTTTGTGCAGGTTTACCACTACGTGTATGATCTCTACTAAACTCAAGTTTACCTGTGCAGTTAAACCTGTCAGGTATAACCTAGCTTGTATGGCTTGCTTTAGGATCGCGCCGTCCCCAAACCCGGTGACGCTGTAAAGGTCATCTGCGACCAACAGCAAACACATTCCAAAATAAAACACCACCACTAAATGGTAGTGTTATTACACTGTAGTCTACTCTGTCAGGAGGGGGTTACTTCCTCATATGGATGCAAAAATTATTTACACTCCCTACAAATAGTCTAAAACAGGCCATATTATCACTTTTGAATTAGAGAATGCTAACTATTAATTTAATTATCAAGTCCATATTCCAATGCCCTTAGAGTTCATTATTGAATGAACGTAGTATTTTAGAGTATCCTATATATATAATTGTTTACATGTATGACACATATTTGCACTATATGTCAATTGGAAGTATTATATAGTTCGGTATTCTTTAAAATCATACATATTTTTTGAGTGTAGACAAAAATCTTTGTTTTTAAAACAATAACCTCTCCTTTTCCAATAAATGACGAATCAGTGCGAGTAAAATAGTGCAGAAAATTATATAAATGATACACAATATGATACAAGTTTTAATCCAATAGAATTTTAATTAAACCTTCGTAGGTATTGACATAGTATTATTTAATTAATGAATGTAATCTACAAATAAACAACAAAATTATACAGAATTTTACAAATAAAATTAAATGAAGACACACAAGGCAGTGAATACTGACACAAAATAGGCGGTTAAACGAACGGTACGCGACATTACCGTTTTGCGTTTCATTCGCACTTAATAAAAAAAAACAGAACAGAGTTAACATACAAGACAAAAATCACAATATCGCATCATTCAATACACATTTTTTACAATAAAAAGAAATGTAGAAACAAAAAATATGGCATTGACACAATTAATGATATTGAAAATAAAATTGTACAGTCGGAGTAGTCTGTCGCTTGATATCTTTCCAATCTGTCACAATAATGTTAAAGTTACAGTTATGCACACCAGATTTTAATAAATAATGTTTGGAAAAATTATTGAAAACTAACTCAATTCCAGACAATCTTTCGCTTCTTTGCTTTCTTATTTTTTTTTTACCACGTCTGACTGCGGAACACTGTGGAATACATTGTTACCACACCAGCAGTGTTTCCGGACCAATACGACCTGAAAACCTTCAAAAAAAAGAGCGTACGCTTTCCTTAAAGGCCCCGGCATCGCATTTGTGATACTACTGGGGGCCATTCGCCTAACGGAAATGCTATGGAAAACGCTAATGCTTTCGATTTTATTTTGTTATTTCTGACCGCCGAAGGATTTCAAATACCTCACGCTCATTTTTTTTAATATTGTTATTACCAATGTAAAAGAAAAAAAAGAGCGAGTAAAATAGTAGCGATTGTGATCACTTACCATCAAGTGAGCTGTCAGCTCGTAAGCCCCCTATAATATTAAAAAAAAACTTAAAAACCACTAACGCTGTTTAATTGCAATGACACTGCTATATATTGGTATATCAACTATATGATTGTGTACAATTTTTTAATGCAATTCGTACAAATAATGACTTTATAACTGCTGTACCAGCTATCTTCGCGTTTGGGCTTTATCATCACTTAACATCAGGTGGGGTAGAGTCATTTGCCTACCTGGCTATAAAAAAAAAGTTAATTATTCCTTCACGTAACTATATTGATGTAAACTTACTGTACATTTTGACATATGAAACCCATTTTCAGTGAACAAGATAACAATGGCCGGGTACTAGCAAATGCTCATATCACTTAAACATATTAATTTATATATAGGATATTTTTCGCTAGTTATCAGATACAAAAATCAATAATAAATGGGTTTGACACGTCAAAATTTACTTTAAAGTTAATATCAATAATGTACTGGTGTCAGTTTTGGCTTCAATGCATTTAGCGCAGGTGATTTTGATCCTTAAAGACTATAAACTACTTCGATTGTCCGAATAATGTAATGAATAGTAGCACACTGGCTGTATAAACAGTGATATAACAGTCGTCTAATGGAAACTAGCGAAGGCTTCAGCTGTATAAAAAAGCTGTACAGTATTTGTATAAGCGGCTTCAGAACTTTTGTAACTTCAAAATGGGCACAAATTATACGGCTTATAACTCTACAACCGCTCTATAGTGGTCGTCCAAACGTTTTAGTGTGGCGATAGAACATCTCTTTAAGAATGAAGGAATACACTTCCTTAGTTTTAAGAAGCTATTATAGCGCCGCTGTACAACTATGAACCTATTTATACGCCTTTGTACCTTTTTAATCTGTCTGAATAGATGACTTATACTTGATGTGTTACAAGAGAGGTTATTAACTCTTAACAGGTCACCTTCTAGGTCTAATAGAGTAACAAGATATTTTTTTTTCCAATCAAATGCCTGTTCAATAACCATCACACATACTTATGACTCTTTTACGATTATTGGGTACCGTTGTGTGGCTACTATCCCGACTATATCTTGTAGAGCGTTATAATACTCTGTTATACCACTTAAATGGAATACAAGACCCATTAAATTGCTGTTATACCGACGGCTTAGCTGAACAAAACCTGTCCAATCAGCTTGTGTGCTAGTTGGGTGTACTTATGTTATGAAAACAAAAAACGAATATAAATTTAACGACAATTATTTGGATTATATTTTGATATGCATACATTACATTATGACTGAATATTTTTTACAAGCCATGTAGAAACTCATTTCATAATGATATTGTGTGAAAATAATAAAAAATCAATACATTTTTTACTCGATGACAGTCCATATTTAATAGGCAAATTATTATTTGAATGATGTAAATAAATTAATGGAAAGCATTAATTTTTGGATTTTAATTTTAAATTGAGCAATTGAAGGCTCCTTCTTTACAAACGTTCCTTAAAATAAAGAGAAAAAAAAGGCTTTTGCCTGCCTCAGACTGCAGTCCCTAGGGAACCTTATACTGGTTAATGAGTATAGTATAGTATTCTATTTAGAGGTATAAGAATAAAGTAGGGGAGATATAGACTCTACCACAAGTGGAAGCGTCCCTCTAATAGAAAGAGGAAGAAGATGAGAGACCGCTAGCTTTCTCTCTCTAATCGCGCAAGTGCATTGGCAACCGTAAGTATGTTACTATTTCGATGTGATGCAATTGTATGCCATGCGTCACAAGAGAGAGAGAGAGAGATAGCTAGCGGTCTCCCATATTCTTTCTCTTTCTACTAGACGGACACTTTTAGAGCCACCTCCCCTACTCTTTTCTTATACCTCTATGGTATTCTAATGTTAAGACAAAACAAAAACAATAATTTCTTTATTCTAAATATTTTTAGTATGTACAAAATTGGAACTGTTACCCTTATTATTAAACCCTTAGCACGAACCATTATCGAATTCGAATAGTTTGCAAACCGAAATATCAATGTCAAATTTTGTATGGAAACTTGAACAGCAGCGGCACAAAATACGTAACGAAAACTAAAAATCAGTACACATTTGATAATGACATTTCGGACTCGCAAACGATACGAATTCGATATTGGTTGGTGCTAGGGGTACTGCTCTCATATAAGCAGTGCCGTCTTTGACCTATTGGAGGCCCTGGGCATATTAGGATAATGGGGCTGGTGATTTAACAGGAACTCCCTAGTTCCTAAATTAAAAAGTGTCCCTACTTTGTATTTGATCTGAGGGCCCCCTATCGATCGCGCGGCCCTGGGCACTTGCCCAAAGCGCCCACTAGGAAAGACGGGTCTGCATATAAGGCAACCATCTCACATATAGTTACCTTGTGGTATGAGTAACCTTATATGAGAGCAGTTCTAATTTTATAACAAACATATAAAAAGCGAATAAAGAAATTTTTGGTTTTGTTTTGCTTGAGAATGTTTATCCAAGGTATGATTTTCCTGTGCGGCTGAATTCCTTCAAATAAGAGAAATAAACATAGTAATTTCACTTTCCTAACATTTTGTTAATATTAGATTATTTAACGCTTCTTTTATTCTTTCAACGTAGACATAATAATCTTTATCTCTTTAAATAACAAGTTGTTATATTTTATCATACAAACAAATAAGTATACATTTATTTGATCCAATAGACACGATATTTTTATATATTAAATAAAATGTCAAAATGGCTCTTAAGGTCCCTTTACACTAGTTTTACGTTTGACATATAATTACAAATGCAATCAGTTCTGCATTATTATTTTTTAAAAACCTAAATTGAACACAAGACTAAATAAAAAAATCTAGAATATGATCTACTCCGTCTATATTTCAGAAGGGATTCGAACCCGCATCTTTTGCTTTCCAGGCGGACGCAATAACCAATTAATGCTATCGAGACCTTAATGGCCGTGCGAACCTAGGATTCTCTAGGATTTCTAAGGCTGTGAGGCAACGCCATCTCTTCGCATTATTAGGCAACCCACATGTGGATATTTTTACGTAAAAAAATCTTAAGATTTAAACATCTAGCAGTTAAATGTTTTAAAATAAAAATATTATGAAATTGAACATTTTCAAAGTGAGCATAAAAAGCCTGTTCTTCTCTTAGCAGTGATAAAAGTTGTTATACAGACAGTCATATAAATTACCAAAAAAAACTGATTTTTTTTCTCAAAGTATTGTGAATTTTATATCAACTTGAATAAAGATCATTTCAGTTGCTTAAAAAATAATAACTTGAATAAAGTTCATTTGAAAAATTTCAGCTTTTAGGTAACTTGAGCTGTGGCCATTTGCACCAATATCAGAATGACATGCAGATTTTTAAGAGTATTAGTTTAAATTGATTTTATATGTAAACCACTAGAGTATAGAGACCTTCATTGGCATGTTTTCTCATACATTTCTAATTAATTTGGAAACATTATCTACTCATTCGTATTTCAGTCAGTTCGCCTTGCTGGTGTCATTTGCTTTCTGTTGTTCTTTTAACCTCGATATTTCAGCTCCTAGGGTGTCCATATTTTCCTATAATGAAATTAATATTTTTTTTAAAGTATGTTTTGTACTTTTTTTTTATTTAAAACACATTATTACACTGACAAATTTATAAAAAACTAATGCAAAAAAAATATGCTTGCTTAACGCAGCGCACGCCCTTATTATTATTTTGTCACAAACTAAGGAAAGCTTATACTACAGACACATAATAAAGGATCAATACAATTGCATAAGTTAAGCAATTTTAATAATAACCGGTCACTGGATGGGTGAACAAAAATTTACTATCTCTCGCTCTTACTTGCTTCGGAAGGCATATGAAGCCGTTGGTCCCGGCTGTGTCTGATGATGATGTTCCTTTAAAGTGATATTCTTCAGGAGTGCATCTTCCAACACTGCCTGCAGCCGTTTAGTCATCGCCAGGGACAATCCAGGACTATTTCTCAAGGATCGACCGGAGACATTAATAGCCTGATGACGTACCTTTGAAGTGATATTCTTCAGGAGTGCATCTTCCAACACTGCCTGCAGCCGTTTAGTCATCGCCAGGGACAATCCAGGATTATTTCTCAAGGATCGACTGGAGACATTAATAGCCTGATGACGTACCTTTGAAGTGATATTCTTGAGGAGTGAATCTTCCAACACTGCCTGCAGCCGTTTGTTCATCGCCAGGGAAAATTCCAGTGTCATTTCTGAAGGATCGACTGGAGACATAATATCCTGATTATGATGACGTACCTTTAAAGTGATATTCTTCAGGAGTGCATCTTCCAACACTGCCTGCAGCCGTTTATTCATTTCCAGGGACAATTCCAGAGTCATTCCTGTAGGATCTCCACCCCAAACTGCCGCCATAGCGCCGCCACCGAGGCGCGCTATCTCTTTCTAGCAAATAGTTTTTTATTATTATTGGAGGATAGCATTATCTATCATTCCATCTTTTCGATGGAAGGAAGAGATGCAAAAATAAATACATACAAAAATAAAATAAAAAACAAGAGAGCCCAGTCAAAAACGAGTTAAAAATAGTAGTAAAAAAAATCCAAGGAAGACATTAATTTACGCAGGGAAATTAAATTAATGACTTCTTCGGATATTTTTTCTAGAAAAAATAGCTTCTACGCTGGATTTAAACTGTTCCTTCCGCAATCCGGGCGGCACGGCTGTGCTACCGAGAATATAATTAATCTTTTGAACGTATTTTTAATTTTCGGTTTGCAGTAAAACCAGACCTGAACCACTTTTTAGCCATCGCATATTAAATGTACTTATATGGCAAGAATGTATATTGGCATTTTAGAGGAATTATAAAAAACTAGCAAACCAGTGAACCAAATGTTCACCAAAAAAAAAATGTATTTAATTAATTGAGAACTTCGGAGATTTTGTGTGGTTTCGTTTGAAATAGAAATCACGTGATTTCTCGAAAACCGGAAGTGCTACGTTACTCACATCCGGTTTGTAGTCTTATCAGACTATTCTTAACTTATAACTTAAACATTCTCTATATCTATCTCTTACGGTTTGGCCGCTGAAACAGCACCACGGACGGACGGACGGACTTGTCTATTAGATAAGAGATAAAATACTACTAAACTGAAACGCAACAAAAATTATAACTACTAATGTTTAGTTAAATTGAACTTTAAGCTGTATGTATTCTAAATTCACCTTGGTCAGCTTCCGTCCCTTCTTCAAATGTGTAGCATAAAAATAAGATATAATATATGATAAGATAGTTGAAAACGCACATTGAAATAATTTTTATTTTCGATACTTTCAAAGCAGATGTCTGCTTAGGCGTTTCGTTCTAAATGGCAACGATCGTACGATGACACGATTCTTTCCCTGTCGTACGATGATTTTTGAACATACTGATTTCTTAAGAAGTCTCCTTATTACAGCTTGTAAGCATGAGCACAGTCATTATTTAATAACGAATGTATGATGGGTTTAATCGTTCTGTTAGAAGGTCCTTTAAAACAAACCCAAAATTCCCGGATACTAATTTAATTGAATTTCGATACACAAATACACACGCGAACTCGAGTACCAAGTCCTGAGCTACCCGGATGGACCGTTCTTTCCCGTTGCCAAAGTCTAACTAACTGTGGGAACTGATGAAATAATGTGAGGGCTGCGTTAATGCAACTCTGCAGTTTAATACTATGGAAAATTACAGTATACACATTATTGTTAAATTAGCATTCTTTGGTTGCTATGTCGGGTAATAACAGTACGATCATGTAATAAAATACACCGATATCTTTTGAGTGTCTTAATTGGTCGCATGTCATTGCACGAACACAACACCCCTGGGGACACATAGAGGTATAAAAATAGAGTGGGGAAGGCGGCTCTATAAGTGTCTGTCTAGTAGAAAGAGAAAGAAGATGAGAAACCGCTAGCTATCTCTCTCTCTTGTGACGCATGCGCAGTCGTCTGTCCAATAGTTGGTCCAAGCATAATATCGAAATAGTAAGATGCTTACGGTTGCCAATGCGCATGCGCGATTAGAGAGAGGAAGTTAGCGGTCTCTCATCTTCTTTCTCTTTCTATTAGAGAGACACTTACACTTGTAGTAGAGTCTATATCTCCCCTACTCTATTCTTATACTTCTATGTTGGGACACGGGACGAGCGGGGCAAGGGGCAATATTGGTTAAAGGAATAGGAAGGTTGCAGGATTCCACGCACGCAAGTAAACTTCCGGTTAAAGTGACATTAGATTGTATGGTTTGACGTTTTAATGACAGTCGCGTGACGTCACACACTAGTGAGGCGCCATATTGTCCAGAGATACGTTTTTCGCGGCCACTTGAAAATAGAGTTTTTTATTTAGTTTTTTTACCGAAATACACAACATAATGATGAATATCCACTTTTTATGGACTCTATAAACATTAGTAAATCAACGTGTGATCGTTATCTTAAACTTGTCAAAAATCCTATTGGTTAATTTGGACTCTCCATAAATATTACGGAGATATTGACGTGATATGAACACGCAACCTTCTGATCTGGAGTCAGACGAAGCTCATGCAAGAAATTCTTGCATGAGCATATAAGTTACTCCGTCAAGCCGCGGCTACCGTTGCCGACTGTCCGCGCAGTAGGACATCCCTGCTCAATCATCATACGATTATTTTCATAGCACGACGAGATCGCATCGTGTCATCGGCAATCGTGGCCAATTAGGGCGACGCTTTTTACGATATTTTTTTTAGGTATTAAGTTAAAAAATATTATCATAAAACATCAACTCGGCCCTATAGCAGATGTCGTAAGAGCTGGGGTTTAGCTCTCAACTAAAGCCATTCTCAAAATGTAAATAGATGTTTAAATCTAAAGAAAAGTTTACTATAAAAAAATCCACGCGGACTAGGCAGCAGACGGGACTCGAACCCTCACCCTTCCCTATCCGGGCGAATGCACTGACCATTATCCTACCGCGGCCCTGACGGCGAAAACATGGAGTAACTAATTCATGCTTGTTCTTAGTTTATTAATAAGGAGGTACGTAGTTTTGAGTATTATATTTATTTACCTTATTAGCGTCCCGATCTTGCGACGCCACAGCACCGGCCGGCATACTGCACAGTAAATGCCGTAGAAGCTTTGACTTTGCCCTCAACTCGCCCGTCAGTTGGCGCGAGTGTTCTTCTAAGAATTCGCATCTGTCTGCGCGTCGCGCCGCCGCGCGTTGGAGTGATACTATACGCTCTATTAGAGCTTGCTTGTCTGGTTCACGGACCTATAAATAAATAGATTCTAAATACCGTATTATTGTACCTGTATTATACATAAAATCACATAAGTAATCTATTTAATAGTCTGCGCAAGCGAGTAACTTTTCTCCGCCGAAAGAGATCGCTAACCACTATCTCGAGTAAAGCCGGGTCTCCAGCGCGTGTTCTGCCCTACACAATCAACATTCAACAAAATCGTCTACACAAAACTTTTTTTCACTACAAATATTTGTTTGCATCAACAATGTTTTTGCTTTTCAAACCAGGTACACAAATCTTCCCGCCCAGGTCGAGGGGCAGGGTACTGTTTCATCGGCCATTTTTTTGACAACTTGCTAGTTGGTGCTCCGTTCCAAACCTACGCTCCGAGTAGGTACTATCGCGGAATTTTGCGCTCTGTCACTTGGCGAACAAAATGCTTTGAACGGTTTTCTACAGTAGTTTTGACTACGCCCCGCCTGCGCCTCGGACGCGCCAATCCGGGCCGCCGCACAAAAGTAAGACAGAGAGCATTTCATTGATTGAATAATGAATTGAATTGCATTTGTTTTAGTTGCAATTTCTCATCCGCATCGTGATCGCGACAGCGCTATACGAAAAAGTAAGACAGCGATAATTACATGTCTATGAATGAATTATTACTACGCCGCTACCGCAACCGATTATGGCATTATGGGTGACAGAGCGGGTCTTTCCGCGAGTGTACAACTTTTCACTGAGACGTTTCAATTTTGAAATAATGCACGATAATTTTGTTGAATTTGGCATTTGTTGCACCTGAATCATAGTGTTTCAAAGTAGCGCTGTGTACGAGTATTTTGTGTAGGGCAGCCACGTGAGCAGTAGACTGCGTGTGTAGAGGAACATGTTTCAGAAACAAAGTTTTATGTATGTGTTATTGTAGAATGTGTTCAAAAAAACTTTTGCTGTAGACCCGGCTTTACGCACACGACGGATTAAGCTGTTGTATATCTTTCTCACAAGGTTTTAGATAAATTTCGATCACTAGCAAAATTCTTTTTCAAATACATTTGCTCAAAAAATGCATTAACGGAGGTTGTATACATTGTTCGAAAATTCTAAATTACGGGACATACAACGCAGCGTGCGGTAAATATATTTACCGCACGCTCCCATATATGGCGCCGTACATTTTCTTTAAGTTTGTCTTATTTCGAACGAACCTCCTTGGAACCGCTTTTAATCTATACCTTTGTCTCACTTAAATACTAAAAAGAAAAAGAGGCGAAAGGTTTAGTTCTAATTTTCACAATCCGCAGGTGGCGCCATTTTCTTGTTACAAAAAGTTTGCTCCATATACACTGTTTTCTCGCAAATATGTTGAAAAACGCTGTATGACATTCGTGCGGAATTGGTTACTATGGTGAGCCCTTATATTCGTCTCGGGCTTACATTCGTCTACTCGTTTATAATAATAAACTTACCGCACAAATATCATAAATAAATTACAGGCTATCTACGATTTTATTCCTAAAATCATTTTAAAATCATTACAAGTTATACTGTATACAATGGAATTTTACCGCTATACAGGCAGCGGCACGTAACTCTAGCGCTGAACAAATCGCGGAGGGGATATCTGCGCATGGGTACGACTGGAGAGCCAATCGGCGCAACGCACGCCCGCCCGCGCACCTCGTTTCCCCCCAAGACATCTTAATTTTTACTTCTGCGCAATAACGGTCAACGCTAGAGTTTCGTGCCGCGACTTATACCTTAAAACTTTAATGCAAAATACATACTTTAAACTATAACTATACACCGTGAATTTTCAGTTTCCTGAGAAATTATACTAGCTAATTCAGACAACTATGCGGGTTACATTCCCGTAAAAAACTTTAAAAAAATGTTTCCAAGGTTACTCAGTAATTTTGTAATAAGGTTTTTTTTTTATTCATATAAATTAATTCAAATAAACCAAAATTTAGAATCTACATACTTTAAATGGATAATAATTCCATAATAGTTATGTTACTTAGACGACCTCCGTGGCCGAGTGTTTTGTACGCCGGGTTTCATGGTGTCGCCGACTCGAGAAGTCCCGGGTTCAAATCCCGGTGGGGCAGATGTTTATGTGATGAATACGAGCATTTGTCTCTCTCTCTCACTCCAGTCATGGATGTTTTGTTCCCCACTGCTGGGGCACAGGCCTTCCCTATAGATGGAATAGGGCCATGACTCACCACGCGGGCCCAGTGCGGATTGGTGGGTGCTAACGACTGCAGATACAGCCGGGACCAACGGCTTAAAGTGTGCTTTCCGAAACACGGAGGAGCTTGAGATAGTAAATTTTTGGTCACCCATCCAATGACCTGATGATGATGAAATGAAGTTGATTAACATCGACTATCGCAGCCGAATGCGCTAACCACTTGCGCCATCGAACTCCTCGTCTTGTGCATTTTAAAATGCCATAATATTGGCGTATAACCTGTCTATATATTATACGTCAATGCTGTTTGTACTATTTTTAATTACACGTTTTTGTTTTCTCGGGTAACTCAAAATTCACGGTGTATATGTATACAAAGTGGTACTAGCAAGGGAGAAATATTTTTTAACCTTCGTAAAGATCTTATCGAATACATTTGCATGCCTTATCTGAAACGTGCAAAAATTAACTTTAAAATGGTATTACTTTAAAATTATTGAAGCATTAATCTAATAGATCATTATATTTATACTAGCTGTCCCAGCGAACTTTGTACCGCCATAAAATAAATAAGGTTGGTGGTAGAAGGGTGAAAATTTAGGGTTGTATGTATTTTTGTATGATGTATCATAAAAAAAACACAAAATTTTATCCAAAAAAGAAAACTTTAAGGGTGGACCACCCTTAACATTTAGGGGGATGAAAAATAGATGTTCTGAATATGCATATAAAATTTCACGAAAATCGGTCGAGCCGTTTCGGAGTAGTTAAATTACGCTCACAACAACAATTTCATATATTATATCAATGCTAGAAGTGAATGGTACACGATGTTGGCAATAGCGATTCAATTCCAATGAAACATAATATTTAACTACATATTTATTCAGCGACAATAGAAATATTTGTAGGGTATTTGACAGTATTAAAAATAAAGTGGCATATCATCTGCGTTTAGAATGAATATTGCCAGGGATTTTTACTATTTTTACAAACAAAATATTCATAATTTTAATAAAAACCACGAAAAAGATAATTCTTATCTATTGTCACGTGACCCAAAACGCTTGGGATTGGCTGAGCCTAAACTGACGTCACACGCAAGTAAACTTCTGGTTAAAGTGACATTACATTGTATCGTTTGACGTTTTAAATATAAGTCAATCACGTGAGATCATTTTCTAAAACTTGTGAAATACCCAATTTCAACTATCTACCAAGTATGGTTTATTAGATCCTACCTGTTTACAGACGGACAGGCAGCTTCCCCCTTTTTCATAAACGAGGAACAAGCTTAGACTATAGTTACGCCGTGTCTTGTCATTTCACTCAAATGTCATTTAAATTGTAACCCAAAGAAAAGACGAAACAAGGAGAACCTAATCTAAGCTAATTCTTCGTATATTAAAAAGGGGGCTTAGGTGTAATAATGACAAGTTGTCAGTCAATGTTTATGGGACCCTAAAAAGCTTTTAAATGTCATTGTTACACCATTAACTCACCGTTGTGGCCTGCGTTTGTTCCTAAGCGAAGCGTGAAAGGATAATTTTAATTAATTTAATTTAAATAAAACAAGTTTCAACGGGTTAGATGCACTGATTTTATTTATTTATTGACGTATCGTATATACGTGTGAATTAATTTAAAAAAAAAATTGAATTCCGGCAAAGGATGCGAAACGTAAATAAATAAATAAAATCAGTGCAACTTGTTTTATTGTATGAGTGATGTGCGTGAAAACTTAAGAAACAAATAATTTAATTTATATTTAATTGGTTTAATGGAGAAAAAAAGACATTAATTAATTCATTTTTCTGTTAAATCGTTTGTGCCAATCTTTAAATATAAGCAGTTTTCAAAAATTTAGAAAGTACCCTATTGTATAGATAACGGGTTGCATACAACATCAAAGCTAAAAACTGTCCGCGTATATTTAAACTTATGCAGCTACATTCGATTCCCAATGAACAAAGATAATTGTTTTAAAACAGTTTAAATTGAACCTAATCACAACTATATCACAAAGGAATAAGATTACAAATAACAAAATGTTATTTCACACATACGACCTTTTATCTTATAAAACTAACATTTGTTCCTTTTATAAATTATATCTGACTAGCAAACCAGTGAACCAAATGTTCACCAAAACCTGATTTCTCGAAAACCGGAAGTGCTACGTTACTCAAATCCGGTTTGTAGTCTTATCAGACTATTCTTAACTTATAACTTAAATATTCTCTTTATCTATCTCTTACGGTTTGGCCGCTGAAACAGCACCACAGACAGACGGACTTGTCTAATAGATAAGAGACTAGCAAACCAGTGAACCAAATGTTCACCAAAACCTGATTAAAAAAAAAAAAGATGTATTTAATTAATTGAGAACTTCGGAGATTTTGTGTGGTTTCGTTTGAAATTCGTGATTTCTCGAAAACCGGAAGCGCTACGTTACTCAAATCCGGTTTGTAGTCTTATCAGACTATTCTTAACTTATAACTTAAATATTCTCTTTGTCTATCTCTTACGGTTTGGCCGCTGAAACAGCACCACAGACAGACGGACGGACGGACTAATAGATAAGAGATACTTGGAAAAAACGATAAAGGTTAAAAAAACGAAAATGTGAAATCAACCTTATGACCCACAAAATAAAATATTTTTACCAGTCATTGGCCAGCGAGTTACTTCGTTTTGTATTAACCGAACTAATTAAAAATAAGATCTAACTGCTCAAGTGAGTCTATATTTATTGAGACGGATTTTACGCGCTGACCCGTTATCTATGGAATTGTTGATCGAAGATTCTGAGAGAAAAAAACATTAAAAACTTTTGGAAAAAAAAAAGATTTAATAGAAATGATTTTTTTGCTCTATGGTCACGTGACTGAAAGCGTCTGGGATTGACGAAGACTAAAATGACGTCACACGCTAGTAAACTTCCGGTCAAAGCGACATAACATTGTATCGTTTGACGTTTAAATGACAGACTTGTGACGTCACATACTAGTGAGACGCTATAGTGTCCAGAGAAATGTTTTCGCGGCAACACGATAATTAAATTTTTGATTTTTTTTTATTGAAATTCACAACAGAATGATGCATATCCACGTGAGGTCGTTTCTCTAAAACCTGTCAAATACCCCTATAAAAAATATAATTAGTTAGGATTAATATTTCCGACTTACCTGAATATCGGGTACTGATTCTACGTGCCCATTGGTGAGTCTTTCCTCGTGCGGGGCACTCTCAACACTGCTGAGTGACGTCACAGAACCTGGGAAAACGTAAGAAGTCTTAACGGAAGCACTATATTTGATTTTAAAAATCAAGCCGGCCGATAGATTCAAGTAATATTTACCCGTTCTCGTGGAAGGCGCGTCCGGCGGCGGCAGTTTAGATTCCAACTGTTCGCACCGTTTCAAAGCGCGTTGTAATTCGCGATTTAATTCCTGCAATTATAAAATACACAATAGTTTTACGATACACTAGCCATCAGCTCTTTTTCATCAGTTTCAATTGAATGAGGTATTAGCTTTCGAATTTCACTTGCGCGATGTAGGCTTCCATGCTTATTGTTCGCAGCGCCGGTAGCGCCATCTCTTAAAGAGGCGAGTGATTATTTCCTCCATCCGTTGGTTATATGTAGGGCATGTAGATATATTTATTTATTCCTCAATGTTCCATAAAGGTCTCCTAAGTCGGGGCTTACCTTTATGGCACTGGCGTGTTTCTTCTTGAGCACTCCATTCTCCCCTTTTTCCCACTCTATTTTCTTATTTGCGTCCGCAACTTCTTCTGTCAACTCTGCTACCTGTGAGAAACATTTATATTATATTTTTAATCATTAAACTTCTAGATGTTTGAATGTTAAGAAAATTTTACTAGAACAAATACTACGCGGATCAGGCAGCGGACAGGACTCGAGCCTTCCTCATTCGCTATCTGGGTGGATGCTAGCGCGGCCCTAAGTGTCCATGTTGAATTTTCTCTTGTATTTCTTAGGCTGCATCTCTTCGCATTGTAGGTAACCCACAATGTCAAATGAATACCTTTACAAGTATTAAACATTTGAAAGAAGAAGCATTACAGGTTAAGCATTTAACTGCTAGATGTTTATATTTAAAGTTTTTTTTTACATTTATATTAGGTTTAAAATTGGCCAAGTGCGAGTCGGACTCGCGCACGAAGAATAACGTACCATTATCTATACAGCGTTATTATAACATTGAGCAAAAAACGAAAAATAATTACGTCTATTGTATAGGATTATTATCATTTAAATATTTCTTTTATTTTTATTGCTTTAAACTTCTGATAGGTTTTCCTTTAATCTACAAGCAAAGCATTCCATGTCTTTTTTTTTATTTTTAGACGCAGAAGTTTCGGAGTTAAGGGGAGTAATGTTTAAAACTACCAAACAATAACCTTATGTCGCGTACGCTGCAGAAGTCATTGACAATAGAGCAAAGTGATGTACTAAAGTTTTATAGAGGACATCGATATCTACAAAAAAGTTCGCGATATCATATGTCTAACTATCTATAAATATAATAAAATGCTAGGAAAGTCAAAACTGTACATACAATATTTCTTTAAAAGAATACTTGGGGTGTGATCTACAATCGATACCGAAGCCAAAAATATAGTTATGAGAATTTTTGTCTGTTTCTCTGTATGTATGTCCGGGATAAACTCAAAAAGTACTGCATGGATTTACTCCAAATTTGACACGAATATTATTAAGAAGTCGGGTCAATATTGAGGCTACATTTTATCACGAAACTCCACCCCCCAAGGGGGTAATTTGGGGGTTGGAAGTTTGTATGAAAGTCCTATGTTTTATAGAAACTTGAAATTTAACATGTATGTTCTATAGATGGTGTAGAGGTGTACTAATCATGTTTCTTTAGAAATAAACCCCCTTTTGGGGTCAAAAAGTATGTGCAAATAACTAACTCTACGCGTACAGGGTCGCGGGCGGCCAGCCGACTAGTCTATCTATCTATATATATATAAAACTCAAAGGTGACTGACTGACTGACATAGTGATCTATCAACGCACAGCCCAAACCACTAGACGGATCGGACTGAAATTTGGCATGCAGGTAGATGTTATGACGTAGGCATCCGCTAAGAAAGGATTTTGATCAATTCTACCCCCAAGGGGATAAAATAGGGAATGAAAGTTTGTATGAAACTTTGTCAATTTTAAACCGATCGGGCTGAGACTTTGCATGCAGGTATAAGAAGAATCATAGATGACTGGCATTGTGTATAATACAAGTCTGAGAACAAAAACTGTAGTCTACACTTCAGCTCTACACCGAAGCGAAGAGAGGGCGGGCCGCTAGTTATTAATAAAATTTCATAATTACCTTTCTAGCAAGCACTTTGTTTTCTTTGTTCCGCCTGTCCGTCTCCTCGGTCAGGGCTGCCTGTAGCTTGCACCGTTCCTCTTCTAGGGCTGTCACGCGCTCCCGGAGAGAAACGTTGTCCGCTGTTAGGGCTTGCACCTGTAAGTAATATTTTAGTGAACGATAATAGGGTATTTGACAGTATTAAAAATAAAGTGCCAATTGTTAGCATCTGTGTTTAGAATGAATATTGGTAGGGGTTTTTACTATTTTTACAAAAAAATATTCATAATTTTACTAAAAACCCACGAAAAAGATAATAGTTTTCTTATCTATTGTCACGTGACCCAAAACGCTTGGGATTGGCGGAGCCTAAAATGACGTCACACGCAGGTAAACTTCCGGTTAAAGTGTCATTACATTGTATCGTTTGACCTTTTAATAATAGTCGTGTGACGTCACACACTAGTAAGACGCCATATTGTCCAGAGAAACGTTATCGCGGCAAATTAAAAATGGAGTTTTTGATTTGGTTATTTTTACTGAAATAGACAACAGATTGATGAATATCCACTTTTTACGGACTCCATAAACATTAGTCAATAACGTGAGATCGTTTCTAAAACTTGTCAAATACCCTGTTGCGAACTCCTGCTCCATATTTAGCTTCTGTGGAGTCAACGCATTCTTCCTGATAAAGCATCATTATCACGCATTGTACACGCAATATTCGATTCTATGGCGCAGTGTACAAAGAACAAACCTAGTTTGTTACTATTACTTATTTTATCTTCAACCGTTCTTATTATTTCTAATGCCTTACAATACAATACAAAGACTCTTTATTAAACACTACGAAAAACATTGAACATTAAGCACAAAACCATTTAGTACAAGTGATGCTGGAGCGGCCTTATCGCTTAAAGCGATCTCTTCCTTTGGATGGAGAGGATTACAAGGAAGTGGGAGAGACGGCGGTGTAAATCGCTAGTATAATATAATCTATTAACTTAAAGTAACTGTAGAGTTTCTTTTTTTTTATAAGTAGAAGTCGATTTTTAAGTGGAATGAAAAAAGGAACTAATCATGAAATTTGACAGCTACGTTGACATAAAGCGGTTCGCTATCATAGACAAAACAGCTGTCCTACGTGTGTCAGTAATATGAGTGTCAGTGTCACGCCCTGCTCAAAAACAAACATTACAGTAAATACATACATCATATATATATTACATATATAGGTATATATATTATAAACAAAAGTATTACAACTTAGATAGTGGGACTTCACAAGGTTTTTAAATGCATTATTAGTTTCCGCACGTCGGCTTGCACTGCAAAACAACGGTGGAAAAAAGTTATGCCGTGTACGGGTGCCTTAGTAAGTTACGTAACAGCCGATTTATAAAAAAATCCTAAAATGAGACAAAAATCCAGCAACAAAATATTTGACTTTGACCTTTGTATCAATTTGACATTACATTATTATTTTTTGCATCAATTTGACATACATTATTAATTTTAAATCAAACATTGATTATTAATTGCACCATTTTGTATTGATTATTCATTGATTATTAATTATATTGTACTTTTCTGAATTGAATGTTGTGTGTGCTTGTAAAGGCTTGCATATATGTCTTAGAATAATTATTATTTTAATTTTTTAAAGTTTTTATATGTTTAGCTGTAAGTACACCTATTAAATAAATAAATATATAAACAAATAAATAAATAAAATATCAAAATTCTGTAATCTTCTAAGAATCCTTCAAAACATAACAAATTTCCGTACAAATTGCCATTGAAAAAAGTTTGTTAAAGCTGCAATAAAATGTCATATCGTATATTTTATATGTGTATGTCCCCTCTTCATAAGTATTTAACGTATATGTTTATACACACTGACTGCCTTCTCAATGTGTTTTACTACAACGGGCCTGCTGGAAGAAATTTCAGATTGAAATAAGCTATGCCCTTCTACTACTATCTTATTTTGTAATTTCTGTCTTTTTATATTTGTGTGTACAAAATTTATAAATAAATAAATATCGGTACATTGAGCTCACCTTATCGTGTTGGTTGTGTTGCGTGGCCTGGTGGGTCACGTGTGCGGCAGTGAGGCGGGCGGCGTGCTCCAGGGCGGCGGCTTCTCTACGGGCGCAAGTCTCAGCTTGTGCGCGAGCAGAAGATAAGGAGGACTCCAAGCGGGAACAGCGGTCTGTCTCCCTGTTTAGAATCATAATCAAAATCATTTAATCGGTTAAGGCTGTTACAAGCACTAATGAATGTCTAGAAGCTACGCCATCGGTTCGTTAATCTACGGCGGGAGACCTTGTACTGAGAAGAACCGGCAAGAAACACAGCAAGGGCTGTTTTTTACTCCCTGTTTTATTATTTACAGAATCGTCAAGTTGAAAAATGTGTTTCACGGGTGATTCATGAAGTCACCTTTCATTACATAATGTGAAATTATACATTAATTGTTCATCTGCATTTTGATTGCTGTGTATAAATACAAATAAGGTTATGTATAATAGGTGTAACTAAACATTTATATGAAATCTGCGATCAACACGCCGATCATGAGATTGGTTGGTATTTCCGTTTAACATTATTTTACCCAATGAATGGATAGCCGAATTAATTTGCAGATATTTGATTTGTCAAAGTATTTTGTTTAATTTGTGTGCGTGTCGCGTTAGTATTGAAGTTTAGTTGTATGAGTTTGGCACCATATTATAACGGCCTTTGTTAAAGAGTAATCGTTTCTAATCATTTCTAATTTGTTGGTATTCGTAACGTTACTTTGTAATGGATACAGGTCGCGGCAAGGCACGGCGCGGCTCTAGCGCTGAATAAAACGCGCCAGGGATATCTGCGCATGGGTACAGTTTGTCTATAAAGTCGTGACATGAATGTTTGAGGAACTATCATTATTCATGTGTCTGGCAACACCAAACTTATGTACATCAGCTGTCATCGACTTTGAGTTGTGGAACCGTTTTCCTTTTGTATTTTTTATTGTTTGGATTAAACTGCAATAAATTAAGACGAAACTACGCAGAAATGTATAAAAATGAGTAAAGTAAATCGGAGTGGCACGCGGGAAGTGATTTTTAAAGTTTTCCAGCGATGTTTCGCGGAGTACCAAGCTGGACGAATTTTGTGGGATTTGGATGATGTTTATGGGCGAACAGCATCTATGACGGGTATGTAATAATCTAACTATTTGTTTGTAATCTGCCTGAAGTTACAAATTTACTCATTTTACGATTATGAGACCAAAAAAGGCATTGTTTACATTGCACATTTTTAGGTTAGATTGACATTATAAATAGGTAATATTGTAGTACGACCATTTCTTTTGATACGTTAAGATGGTACAGCTCAGTCAGGTTTTCTACCAATTTTGAATTAATTGCTTCATGTCAATAAGTTATAGTTTCTAATCCGTTACATATTTTTTTTCAGAAAAATCAGAGAGTACCGTTAGGCGGATAGTCAACGAAGGTTTTAAGAATGATGGAAAGTTTGAAACTCCTGGTAAATACAGGCAAGGCCGACCAAAGAAAGAAATGGTCACACAGAGAACCATGGCCAGATGCTTTTAGTGACGATACCTATCACTAATTTTACTAACTGCACATTTACAAATTGTTTCTCTAAATATACTTTTTATATGTATACTATAAAATGATTTTTACTATTATTTTCTTAACAAGCGTGTTAAAAAACGTCGACGTGATGATTACCTAACGGCTCTGGTCCTAATGACACCTCAGCGGTAATCACCAACATTACACACTTGTACACTTTATTATCTATAATAATTTTATTCTGATTCAATTAAATATGCTTGGTTAAACTTTTAATAAACATAGGTACCTACTATATATGAAACAGAAACAAAATACGACTGTATAGTGGGTCTTAATTACCTATTTTACTTGAATGAACTACTAGTATCAAAATCATTTTGGTCAAACTATATAGGGTTGCTACATGCATAATAGTGGCGCCATCATTTAATGTCACGACTGTATAGACAAACTGTACGACTGGAGAGCCAATCGGCGCAACGCATGCCCGCCCGCGCACCTCGTTTCCCCCCAACACATCTTAATTTTTACTTCTGCGCAATAACGGTCAGCGCTAGTTTCGTGCCGCGACTTATACTACCGTCATCACGAAATAATAGGCCCGTTTTGACATATGTAACTAGTGATGTAACAATACGACTCGCTACACGATACTCACGAAGCTTGTATTTGATTGATATGATTATGTATTGGATTTCAGTTCTGACTAGAAAATTTAACTGAAACTTTAATATTGTAGGTAATTTGAAATGATACAATGGTACGAAAGATCAATATGTCATTAAATTTATTTGTTACAATAACATTCACTCGATCACAAAAAATCAAGAAAAGCGAAAGTGATTGAATCTTAAACCCATAATTTTACTTTGCAAAAAGTAATTACCTACGCAGTTTTGAAGCTGCTTTAATATATAAACATTTTTTCGTGTGTTTTTAAAATTATTGTTGAACCATAACTATATATTTTTGCTACAATTTGGGACTCTCAAATGATACGAATTAGATATTGGTTCGTGCTAAGGGTACAGTTCTGTCTCGCTTGCTCGATTGAATGTTTATTTATAGAAGTGTGCGTGCGTGACAGTCGCTTATGTAGTTAAGTCGGATCATATTTTATTTGATGCTAGTATGAGCGTACCGTATCTTCCACTTTGGTTTTAATCTGAGGTAATTTGATAACATACCGTTGTAGTTGAGCGCTTAAAGTGTCAGCTAGGGCAGCTTGGGCTCTTAATGCTGCAAGTTCCGCCGCTTCTTCCTCCAAGCGTAGATTACTTGCCTTCAACTGCTCCACCTGAATCGAAAACGATCATATAAGAATATATTTTTGAAGTGAAACTTTTTACGGACGGGGTAAATGGAAAAATCCTATGGAAATGATGAAACGGAAATTCGACGCGCGCGTTACACTAATATATGTGTGTGTGTGTGTGGGATGCGTGTGCATTCTTCCCGACGAGCATGAAAGTTGAAGGGTTACTCGGCGAAAGCTGAAACGCTACGAGCGTCACACGAGTCAATATATCTTATATATAAAATTCTCATGTCACAATGTTAGTTACCATACTCCTCCGAAACGGCCTGACCGATTTTTATGAAATTTTATATGCATATTCAGTAGGACTGAGAATCGGCTACCTTATGCCGCAAATTTTCGAAACTCGCACGGGAATCTAAACCTACAGGGTACATCCCGTGAACTTAGAATCTTGAAATTTGGTACAAAATTACGTCTTATAGTACAGATAAGGAAAAATTGCGAAAATTGTAAATTTTTAGTTATCTCGTATAATAAAAAATATTTTTGAAATTTTTAAAGTCCTCCTTTCTCATGAATGCGTAGAGGTATTAAATTGAGTTTGTACAGAACCCTCGGTACGCGAGTCCGACTCACGCTTGGTATGTTTTTTTTTTAATACTATGGCATTAAAAATAGCAGCATTTTACCTGAAATAAAATGCATATTAAAATACTTACCTCACTGAAAGCTTTATATTGAGATAGCATTTCCGTTTCCCGTCGAATTACCATCAGTTTCCGTACTTTTATTCACCTTGTATCCGGTCCAGTGGCGACACCTGGCAGAAGCGCGGCCATTTTTGTTTTCCTAAGTTTTGACAGCGCCATATTAACTCATTGGCTCAATTATTTCACCAGGCAGAATTTAAAGTGAAAGCTTTCAGTGAGGTAAGTATTTTAATATGCATTTTATTTCAGGTAAAATGCTGCTATTAAACTACTTGACCGTCACTGAAAGCTTTATATTGAGACCTGTTTGTTATCGCCTGGTGATCGCCACGTACATAGATATATACGCCAATGTGACAATTTATGATAAATTTAAATATTAACATTTATCAGATTATATGAAACTGTATAAAGAAACGAGTAAGCTTAAAAATGAATCAAATAATATTATTTGAATCACGCCTTTAATTTCTTCAAGCTTATGAAGCTGCTTTAACATATGTATTAGCTGATCGCTATATTCATTTGCTTAAAACTATGACCGGACGCTTCCTTGTGTAGCATTCATTTGTATCTTTGTATATCACAAATAAGGCGTACGAACGCGAGAAAAAGATGTAAAGTTGTTCGATACCGAGTCTTACATTTTACAAGACTGTACTTTTTACTTAAGTACCAAAAATCAGGGTCCCACTTACGATTACCATTATTGGGTACAAGTCACCAATCGGATTGTCTTTAACTACTTTCACCTGTTTTGAACCAAAACAAGGCTAAACTAATCTTCGTCGGTACAAATACAATGATTCGGGATAATTTGAAGTAGGAACAAGTCATGTGTACCACATGCTGAACCAAATAATACGCAGCATAATTACTGTATGACGTTCAGAACAACATATATGACGAAGTATTTGAAACAGATCATTATGATGTAACGAGTACATTATTGAAGAAAAGGAAATAAGTTAACTTATAGACTCAGAATAGTAGGTTAAGGACTAATTCTTTAAAAATAATCGACTTCAATATATGTGTTTGACAAGACAGGTGAGCTTAGGTAATTAGACTTATCATCCATTGGTATATCATGTAAAAACTACTGACTTATTTAAAATAATGGTACTTATTTTAAGATAAGTCACGAGTTAAAAATAAGTCTCTCAAAAATCGTGTGAGCTCAGAGCCGAGTCCACAACTTGCGGGATTATTCCGATAAACATTCTTGTTCCTAGACCAATGCAACCACGCAAGCCAGCGTTTCCGAGCCATCTCATAGCTGTTTAAGACAGAGCTGTCGCTCTTTGTAGAATATGTTGAAAAGCGTAGTGCTAGCATACCGTGCCGTGTTCTTCAACTATACTTCCCAAGCTTTCATATTAGATTGGCGGGAAGTGATTGCAAGGTCGATTGCAGTGAATTCATAATTATTGTTAGAAGTAGGGAGTGGTTGATATAACCCCACGGAATGACAAAAATGTTGAAACCGATCAACTTCTGAAGTTTACGTTTGTACAACGAAATTCTCTGGTATAGTTTTTATATTGTTGCTGGGTTGTCGTGATAAATTATGCTATTACGAAGTTCAGACCAGATTTTATGAAATTCATTTGCCATCCTGGAATCTATAATTGATTGTAATTTTTCCTTTTGTTTTTCAGTTCTTAGATCTGAGTCATTTATATGTATTACTTAATACTAAATAAAGATTTAGTTATTTATAAGATTTACACAGCTTACATGAGGTGTGTATGTACTATGCGTAGGGTTTGAAGTATATTTATTCCAGACAGTCGTGGCAAGGTTAGAAAGCGTAAGTTTAATATTAAGAACAGTTTTCAGTAATTTTTACTAAAATAACATAAAGGGGATAATTGCATACAATGATCTTCTAAACCTTTCAAGAATTTGGTAGATCGTGCAATCTTTCTTCAGTAACTAGCACCACTTATATATCAAAATGATCATGTTGGCCACCTCAGACACCACATACACGACATTTCTAATATTGCAAGTTTCTCTCATTACGCGATCAAAAGAGTGAGCAACCCATTTGGTTTACTTTTGTTATTTTCAAGAGAAAATATGTTATCTTCTATTTATCTGGCAGATAGTCCTTAAATTGCAGAAAACTTAGAATTCTTTACATATTTATAGTGTACTGCACTTGAGAATGGAGTTTGATATATATTGGATTTAGATAAACAAGCTTTTGAATGGCATGCGTTACCATTAAAATTATTTAAGAATTATTTATGGAGCTCCCAATTTATCAACTTACCTGCACTAAATTTTTTCAAACATTAATTGTTTCGATATTCCTTTTTCTTTTGAAATGTATTATATATTACGGTAGAACAACCGTAGTGATCGAGTCAACACTTCACACCAATTAGCCTAGCCTTATAATGGGCATTGAAAGGCTTGTGTTATGGGCTAACGCCTAGAAATGCATAATGATGATGCATAGATTAGAATTTATTAGATTAGATTTTGAATTCATATTTGTTAACAACCAAAACTTAGGCACAGATGCTCGTTTTTATCATACAATGATTTGCCCCACCGCACAATGGGCTGAAAATCGGCTTTCATAGACTTAGGGATTTCAATTTGCAAGTGCTGTATTTTTTGCTGGTTATCGCTTCTATTAGTGATCACTATACACAAAAAAGATATCAGAGTTAATTCTGCACAAAAATGAGGATATTATATTTTTTTTACGAATAATTTGTATGAAGGTAGTATGAAAAATAGAATTATCTCTTAAACGGCAAGGAAAACCGTAATATCATTACAGGTGATTATAGTACTATTTATTTATGGTTTTTTGACATAATTCACATAACGGTTTTCAATGCCGTTTTTCTTTTAAAAATCATCAAAATATTTTTATATAATATCAAACCTTCCGATCCTTTTAGTGTTAATGTTAAGAACATCCGTATGAGGAATGTTATCGATCCAAAAATTAAGAATGTATAAAACAAGAAATTATATAAAATAAACTCTTTTTATTGATTATAACTAAAAAATAGGTAACAAAACCGTATTTAAGTACTTTAAATACAATAATACAAATTTTAAGATCAATTAATTTAAGAAAGAAATAAACTAATTGGTACAATAAACAATCAACTAATAAATAAAGAAATAATACAATAAACAAACCATACAATGAACAATAAATAACAACAAAACATGAAAAATTATAATAAGAATTATAAATCTTCCCTGTCACTCTCGTTATCGGTCTCCAATTCTGAGTCAGAATTTAGATTGGATATATCTAGAAACTCGAACTCAGTTTCCTGAATCTGAATTAAGTCGAGAGTTTCAGCAAAAAACATCTGCTTTTTCTTGGCATCTAATTTAGGCCTTTGTGCACTTAGGAAAGGATCCGAAGAAACAAGAAGCATGTTTAAGATATCTTGATTAGAATCTTGCCTGCTTCTTTTCTGCGAATGATGGTCCCGGAACCTCCTAAAATCTTTATTTCTAGACTCTGAGGCTTCTTCTGAGAGAGTCCCAATTGGCACGATATCATTTTTTTCGATTATATCAGCACCGTGTATTAATAATTTATGTACAGTTGACGACATATAGTACCAGTTATATAATTCCACGTACCAATCTGCTGTTTTACGGGCAAAATCTCTAAATTTCATTACGTCGATCTTCTCGCCAGATGTTATTGCTTGCAAAATCACTGCAAATCTTTTAATTAGCTCTTCATCCAGCCCGGTAATAGCTGCAGTTTTATTGGGAGACTCGAAAAACTTTCTTGCAGTATTCCCGTCATTCGTAGTTCCCGAGCCTTGTTTAACTATATCAATCAACAAATTGAGCTCATTTTTGAATTTATTTTGGATAATTTTTTTTCTAGTCTGCAACATTTCTTTGTGCTCGTTACTTCTCGCTGCCCACTGTTTGAAGTCAAGCCTGTACGCAATGTGTAACAGACATTCCATGCAATTTATGCGAGCGTGTAGGGATGACAAGCCAAATTCGTATAAGTCAGAACATACATTCTTTGATGTTACAGCATCTAAGCGATTCATTTCTGTAGGTTTTGCTAGGCACAGGTAGCACGATGCATTTGATCTGGCTTCGGAAAGGTACGTGCAGACTTTAGCATCGATCATAGTCATCATTAGTTGATGGGTCACCTTGTTGCTATTACTGCACTCTGTGGGGATAAGGGCCTTAATTTCATCATCCATTTGTCTTTTGTGATCAATGACAACTGCTTCGCTCTCCTTTACAAAAGTGAACTGAACTGGACGACAATACAAAGCTGAGCATGGTTTTGGGTTCATCCATACA